TTCCGTCCAAGACTACACGAGCGGATTTCTGGCGCTATGCGAGCAGGTGGGATATATGCACGAGAGCGAGCGCATCGACCGCTACATCGGCGGCCTGAAGCAGGACATTGCTCAGGAAATCCAGCTTCGCGGCGTCACCGACTTTCAAGAAATTCTCGCTATGGTGGAGAAACTCGACTTCTTCCGCCGACCGAGACCGGGGTCCTACGGAAGCAGCCATTGGGGACATCGGTCTCGTGGGACGAACGAGAGCGCTACGATACGTGCCGTCGCCGCAAATGCCGCTGCCGCACCGTTCAAAGGGCGCTGCTTTGCGTGCAATCGGCCGGGACATCGCAAGAGCGAATGCCCGGAAAACGCTAAGGGAAAGGGGGAAGCTGAGCAGCAGAAACAGACCAAGCAGCAGGGAAACGCTGGAAGTCAGTAGCAGACGGGCCCTCTACTGACAGGTCACGCCGCTCGCCCGACCCAACCGACCCTCACCGAGTGATTGTGCCGGTTCACGCAATCGACTACACCCGGCCGAATAAGGAGGGTACTACGGTAGACAGCCCCATATTGCTTAGTGGGAAAATTGGGACAGACTTAGTTAAAATCTTCGTAGATGGGGGAGCCAGCCACAGTCTCATCAACACTTCCACGGCACGGAAGCTGAAACTGCCACTGGACAAATGCTTACCTGAGATCGATGCAAGACTGGTCGATGGCACGCCACTGACGATACGGGAACGGGTGGACCGAGTTCGGATTCGATGCGGGGGTAACTTCTCGTTTAGCCAGGAAATGCTCGCAACAACCCTCGACGGAACCGACCTTTTACTCGGCCGTGATTGGCTGCGACGACACAACCCGCGAATCGACTGGACGACGGGTGACTGCGCTGTGCGACTAAACGGTAACAACATCGCCTTACCTCGCTGGGGCTCGCCTGAGTCTTCGTCGGTGCGTGTCAACGCGATCACGATGAAACGCGCCGTAGCGGCAGGAGCTGACATGTACGCGGTCGACATTCGGGAAGCCGAGGCAGCAGACAAAGGAGGGGATTTACAGAAACTGCTAGCCGACGTACCGAGTGATCTGGCAGCATTGTTGAAGCAGTACAGTGACATCTTCCCGGACGACCTACCGACGGGACTGCCACCTCAGCGACCGCACGACCACAGGATAGAACTAGAACCGGGGGCACAGCCGACAGTACAGCGACAGTTCCGACTGACCCAACCCGAACTGGACAAACTGAGGAAGCAGCTGGATTACTTGCTCGAGAAGGAGTTCATTCGCCCTAGTTTGTCGCCCTTCGCAGCACCGATAGTGTTCACACCGAAAAAAGACGGGGGATTTCGCATGTGCATAGACTACAGAGCATTGAACAGGGTTACCATCAAATCCCGTTACCCCATCCCGCGAGCCGACGAACTGATCGACCAACTGCGCACAGCCCGGGTTTTTTCGAAAATTGACCTTCGGGGAGGTTACCACCAGATTCGCGTCAACCCGCCCGACTGCTCGAAGACAGCCTTCCGAACACGCTACGGATCCTTCGAATACACCGTCATGCCCTTCGGACTGACCAACGCCCCCGCCACTTTCCAAATGACCATGAACGAAGCCTTCCGCCCGCTTTTAGATAAGTGCGTCATCGTATACCTGGACGACATACTGATTTACAGCCCCGACAGAGCACAGCACTTACAGGGCATCGAAGCAGTTTTTCGGATACTGAGTGAAAACCGCCTACTGACCAAAGCGTCTAAGTGTGAGTTTCTCCAGGACCGACTGGAATTTTTGGGACACATCATTTCAGCTGCAGGAGTGGAAATAGACCCGAAAAAGATCGTAACGATTCAAGCATGGCACGCGCCGTCCAAATTGACCGAATTGCAGAGTTTTCTGGGGTTCGTCAACTACGTGCGCCGGTTCGTCCCCGACATGGCGAAGTTGACTGCCCCGTTGACCGACCTGCTGAGGAAGGGGGTTGAGTACACGTGGGGGGAGAAAGAGCAAGCTGCCTTCTCGGCCCTCAAAAATAAATTGTGCTCACCCCCATTACTTCACATCGCAGATCCGCACCGTCCGTTCGAGCTCGTCACCGACGCTAGCGACATCGCTGTGGGAGCGGTACTGTTGCAGGACTTCGGGAACGGCCTTCAGCCAATCGCGTACGAGTCCCGCAAGCTTCACCCGCCCGAATGCAACTACCCGATACACGACCGCGAAATGCTGGCGATCGTGCACGCGTTCAAGGTGTGGCGATGTTACCTCATGGGAGCAGACGTGACAGTACGGACAGACCACCGATCCCTACAGTACCTTCGCGCCCAACCGAATCTCAACCCACGACAGATCCGCGGGTTGGACTATCTGGAGTCCAACTTCCACTACACGGTCACGTACAAAAAAGGCGCATCCAACATTGCCGACGCACTCACACGCCCCACCGCCCAACTCCACGCCATCCTACTCGCCCAAACCAACCCACTGTTAACAGGCCTATTCACCCATGGATACAGTACCGACCCATTTTTCACGACTGGAAATTCACAGCAAGTGGCATAGGCCAGAGGAGTCTATTACGTAAAAACAGGCACCAACCGCATCTGGGTACCCGCGTACTCGCTACTGAGGGAACTGTTACTGTAGGAGGCACACGACGGGATTACCTCGGGACATTTCGGGGTAGAAAAAACGCGACAGCAACTGCAGCGGTATTACTACTGGCCGGAGCTGTTGACCGACGTACAGCACCACGTGGGCTCGTGTCCTACGTGTCAGGCGATGAAGAGCTCGCGAAAAAGAAAGGCGGGTCAGTTGCAGCCGATTCCTCCGCCTGAGCGCGCCTGGCAGCAGGTCACCATGGATTTCGTCACAGGGTTACCTTCGAACCCTGGGGGTAACGACGCGGTTATGGTCGTCGTTGACAGGTTGACAAAAATGCCACACTTCGCTGCGTGCAGGAAATCGATCTCAGCCGAAGAAACCGCTCGCCTGTTCATCGCAGCCGTCGTTCAACTGCACGGGATACCAGCCGCGATAATCAGCGACCGCGACACGAAGTTCACCAGCAACTTCCGGAAGAACCTCTGGGAGCAGTTCGGGACAAGGCTACAGTTCAGCTCGTCGTACCACCTCGAGACCGACGGTCAAACGGAGCGGACGAATCAAACGATGGAGCAGTTGATTCGTGCCACGTGCGACGATCCGACCACTTGGGAGCAGCAGCTGCCGCTGATCGAGTTCGCGTATAACGACGCCACGTCAGCGACGACGCAGCAGTCCCCCTTCTACCTGAACTACGGGCAAAACCCTACAGTGCCCATGACGCCGAGTCCGGACAACCCAACACCACGTGCACAGCAATTCGCCGAAATTCTGCAAGCTGCCCGCACCAGAGCCGCAGAAGCAATTAAAAAAGCCAACGTCATCGCTAAGCGCAACGCTGACCGCCACCGCCGCCAAGTCACGTACCAGTCAGGAGATTACGTACTGCTCGACACACAGAACTTAAGACTGCCCGTCGTACCGAAATTGAGACCCCGCCACTGTGGACCATTCCAAATCAGCCACATGATTACCCCAGTGACAGCCCACCTACTGTTGCCGATGGACTGGTACGTCAACCCTTCGTTCCACGTCAGCCTACTTCGCCCACACATCCCAACCACAAGCCAACTGCCTCGTCACTCGCCCTGCATCGGAGCCGATCATTGAGCCCGAAAAAATCATGAGCCATCGGATTCGACACCCCACGGGAATCAGGAGGATTGAATTCCTCGTTCGCTGGAAGGATCGCACGCCAACTGAGGATAGTTGGGTGCCCCTGGCCAACATCGAAAACCACCCTGCCCTGCAAGTGTACCTGAGGAGCCGGGGTTTCCGCGATATACACGCACTCGCGTAGCGGAGTGGGCTTCTTGGGGGGGGGGGGGTAGTGTAAGGAATTTTCTCGATATTCCTTAGCGCGCCCTGCAACATCGCGTACAGCAGCAGCCGTTGTTCGCCCGTTACTGCTAACGGGGCTTCGTCGGCTTCGCGCGCACTGTTTTCCCAAACCTCGCACTGCTGGACCGGCCGTGTCGGCCTACGCTTCGGGACTAGCCCGAGCCTCGCTTCCAGCGCAGCACTAGCTAGCTCGCACGCACTGCGTTACTGTTTGCATGTTTCGCGAATAAATGTTCGCTCATGCCTTCGCTCACATTTTGTACTCGTTTGACACCTTAGTGCAATTCTCGCTACTTCGATCCATTGCACCCGTAACATCATCCCTCACGTGAGCCCGTGGGTGGTGAATCCGTCATCCGCAGAATGCGCGATAATTATATACGCAGTGAACCGCAAATAGTTCACAAGTTTCGCTATGAGACATTCTTTGCCTCTCTAACACTCCTTGACACTACACCTCTAAGGTATGATTAAAGTAGGGTTAAGAACCAGAAGCTCCCACTATCATGCGAATTAATTTAGTCAACGTCATATATTTTTTTTAGTCTCCCTTTGTGTCTCATAAGAATAGACGGTAAAGGGTACACCACTCTGGTTACACATTATCACATCCCTTAAAGGCAAAATGCATATTCGTGGAGTTGTATTCCATGAAAAAAAATATTATAATATTGTTGTAACCATTCACTAATTTTGTCGGCAATGTGTCCATAGCGGGTGTTCTCCGACCACTTGCACCGCTCAGCCTGCCCGCACACTTGTAGTAGTTTGTTGAGATACTGTAGTTCTGCAAGGTTGTAGTCGTGTAAGGGAAATGTACCAATGTTCTTGCCATAATAGTGGATGTTTCAATGGCATGTCATTGTGTAGTACCGGTATGATGATTGTGCGGATTACACTACTTCTGTTGACACATTCTGCATGCGTATTCATGGAATGATTTATTTATCCTGTTTGTGTTGGTGCTAGTTGTTCTTTGCCTTTGTTGCATGTCATAAGAGGAAATGGAACCCATAATTTATACGGTATACCCAGAAGCAACAACTGGTCCCCTTGTGCATCTATCCTACCCTTCCACTGTCCGCTTGTGCCCCCTCTTCCTGCACCATCCCACTCCCCTGACCTATAACCACACATCGGAAGGCATACCAAAGTCCCTCTCAGCACCCCATCCCTCCCTACCCTGTTCCAGCCGTCTCCCTTGCCACACCCTTCCCATCAGAACCACCCCAACCAGCTAGTGCTGCAGCAGCTTACCGCAGCCGGTCACTCTACACCGCACAGTTCTTCACCTTCTCCCGAACCCCTCAACTCCCCACACAGTTCTTGCTACTAAGACTCTGAATTGTCCTTTAGTCTAGATCAAAGACTTCTTAAGTTCAAGAGCCTTTTGTTTCTTCTCACGCTTCTCCTCACGCTTGTTCTGCTGCTTCTCCTGCTGCTTCTTCACCTCTTTTTCCACGAGGGTTTTTCGCCTTGCCCCCGGCGAAGGTCGCCGCGTTGAACGCGACTGTGCCAACGGGACCCGCCACAGCGGTAGCCGCGAGTGAGCCAGCGCCCTTGACGACATTCACCGCGGGATCCTTGGCGCCTTTCTTGTCCCCCTTCGCTGCCGCTGCGGCGCCGCTCGCCGCGTCAACAGCCATCCCGCCGCCCGAAACCACTGTGCCAGCCACCAGCTTTGCCACGTTCTTCTTAGTCAAGTTGTCGGTAATGAATTTCGCACATGCTTCGGCAGCATCTACCCAAGCCTTGCCGGCCCTCTGCACCATGCTCGCCTTGGGAGAGCTCGGCGGCATGGGGACAAAACCGGAATCCGCGAGGAAGCGCCTGCTAGCAACAGTTTTACCGCGAATCGCGCCAGTAGTGCTAGCCGTAGTCGCAGTCGAGAGTCGGTTTTCCGGAGTGCCGCGAAGCGCGGCGGCCGTGGTGGTAAGGGTCAAAGCTGCGAGCACCGACACGGACAGAAGCGCGACGAGGAAAAGGCCGCGGATAGCCATGGCAAGCAAACTTGAAGAGAGAATTGCGAAAAAGGGTGCGAGCCTGGAGATTTGTTGCAAAATTTGAAAAGATTATGCGAACCGCCGTTGAGTACCACTCCTAGAATGTCTCAAATGTCTCATGGTGTCAGTCGGTGTGAATGACTCGCAAACGGGGGGATTGTCGATGTGGAATTGATGCTCATAAACAGGCTGACGCAGGCACTTTTATAGCAACGGAAGAGCGGAGGGTGAGCTACTAGCTCCAGCAAGTTCGTCGTAACCCGCCGCAAGTTGCGGCGTGAGCGCCCAAGTCGCGTGTTCTGACAACTGCCATCCTACGTAGCGAGAAGAAACGGAAGCAGTCCTGTTACCCGCCGCAAGTTGCGGGTGAGCGCCGAACCTGGTGGGTGCTTACAATATTATAATTTTTAAACTCACATTGTGTTTCTTTAAATTGTGTATTATGAAAGCGAAGCTGCTTGTACTGCACAATTGGCATCGTCGAAGCGCGCTAAACGCCCTTCTCCAACTACAAAAACCGTGGGTTGGAGTTCATTTCCCTCCACCCACGTTTCTCGATTTTCAAACGGCTCACTCAACATTCCCACCACCCGCCCCAGAGTAAACCGCCTTGCTAATGCCACTTGGATAGGGTACATCTTAGCTAGTGTTATTCGATTGCACTAGCTTGTGTTCAACGTTGATGCAAATGTTGTAATAAGCCATTTGTAATGAGAACGATGCCAATTGATAAGAATAAGAAAGCAAGCTTTCTCAATCATTGATTATACTACGTAGCGAGGATGAATGGAAATCACATCGACTCTCATTGCATAATGGCCCTGTTCGACAGGCAGGCAAGCCCTTCCGCGGAATCATCACGGCTGTTTCCACTTGGGTTTTTTTCCCACGGTCAGCCCGCAAATTGGTGTCACTGGGCTTTAACGCCCTGCAACCTGAAGGGTTAAAACCGGAGTCCCAAACAGCCCCAAAGTGCCTCAACCTTCCTAACTTTGAGAAGGGGTGACCCAGTAGGTACGACTCACTTCGCAAATCGGGAGGACAATTTTCGTCACGCAGAACTACTGTTCTAGCGAGGACGAAAGCAATGACGATTTCGCCAACAAATTTGAAGCCCGTCCGAAACTGTCTGCGAACCAGTTCTGACGTTGCATTCCAGATCTGGTTCTTTTCGCGAAATTTTCTTCCTTTGCGACCCCAGACCACCAATTTCGACACCACCCTCTCCCCTTTCAACCTTCATAACGTAGAAACTCTTGGACCTCCGGTTTTAAGGGTTAGCCTGTCGAACGCGACGTTAACCCTTCAACTTCATCCCCCCCAAAAGCTCCCAGCTCCTTCTCTCCCGCACAGACTTTAGCCTAGCTCTAGCCCAGCCCTCCAATCCCCAGAAGGGAGGTTGGCCAAGGGCTAGGCTAGGGTTCCATAAGGGAGGGTATACCCACCCCCTACCCTACGAAAGTTTTCCCACCAGTGCCCATGCTCTCGTCTCTCCCATCTCTGCCCTGAAAAAGTCCCTTCCTCACACAGCCAAACCAGCCACCAGCCACGCACGACTCTCAGGGTACATTCCTACCTCGTGTCAGACACGAAGTGGAGGTTTGGATGGAGGTTCGGAAGACCCGAAGTGGCCCACTTCGGGTCTTCCGAACATTGATTTGCCAGAGTTCCAGCTCACTTCGGGTCTTCCTCAACTTCACTTCGTGTCTGACCTCATGTCAGACACGAGCCAAGAATGTACCCTCACTTCTCCACTTCAATCTTTTTTATTCCCTTAAGTTACCCAAGTTCCCATCCCATGCCATCCCTATAAAAAAAATTCAGACCCTGCCCACGATGAAGACGGTGGAAGATGGGGTTGCAACATCGCCATGACGACCCCCTCCTTTCGACCTCGGGAGGCGCTGCTTCCGATTTCGTGGGTGGGGGGGGTAGCCTAGGAGAAGTTACTTCGAAAACTCCTCTTAGCTCTAGCCTTACCCTAGCTCTCCAAGGAGGTGCATGCCTGTCGAACAAGGCCAATAGTCATCGGCGTGTGAATGGCGAATTCGTGATGCGTACAATGCGGGCAGAGAGGGAAGCGGATGTAAGGTACGAGGTTCGCTATAAAATTTATGCTTCCTTACTCTCTATTACACTCCCATCCATACACCCCTAATATGATTATGTTCGGGTTAAGAACAAAGAAAGATGATTTTGATGGGGTTGAGCTGACAAAAGTGGTCTGTGATACTTTTTATCTGTGTTGTCTTCGTTTGGCTTGTGGTCGATCACATTTGCAAAAGTGGTGTAGCCTTAGTTCGGAACCCGATTCGGGTTATTTGAATTCAAGTCGTACCGAAACTCAAATGCCAAATTCAAAATTCGAATCCAAGCCAAGATCCCCAGCACTTCTACAGCCAGCCATCTCCTTCCCCCCGAACCAGCCGAGTCCTGCCCAGGGCTGTCGATTCAAGGGCATTTGCCCTTAATGCCCTGAACATTCCGGGCGAACTCCCAGCCAGCTTCGGCATTTCAAAGGGTTGGTTTCGAGGGAAGCCCGTTTTTCTTACGGGCTGAATTTGAGAAATAGGGGTCTCAACCCGGATCCGTTAAGGGCTGGTTCGGGGCCTTTCCCTGATTTCCCGGATCAGGAGTAAAGTAGCCCTGCGAGATGCCCAAGTGCCCTCTTTTCCTCCCGCTCTCATCCTCCCTGAATCTCCCACAAGCAATCTACTTAGGCAAGAAAGGACTTTCTTGTGTTGATGTTATGGATGTAGTTGCAAAATATTTTCAAGTCAATTCGTCTCCTCACAGTTCCAAGTACTCACACTGGACTCGCGACACTGACACCCAACGTGGTGAACAAGAAATTTGCCCCATCAGTTCACACTAGTAGTACTACATGAAAAACGACCACCTCGGAAGTGCTTTGCGTTTGTACACACGAGTTTAAACGACTTCTTTGCTGACGATGTTTTGCCCTACGACCCCCCTCCTCCCCTCCCCACCCCACTTCCCCCCTTGCTGTAGGTATGCAGATGAGTCGTTAGCATACTCCTTCCCGCTGCTAAGTAATAGGTTGACATCCGCCTTTGTGCCATTAGAGCTCACGTACATTTTTTGTAGGAGCCCGGATTTCAAGTATTGAATCATCCTGCGCCCGTGATCGTTACGGGCTAAAAAACGGTCACCTTCGTGAAAATCAGGGCCAAACTTCGAGCAGCTCAGGACTCAAAGTGCTGGTCCCAGGGACTTCGACAGGCCTGGTCCTGCCCTGAGGCCCTCCCACTCCAACTCTCATTCAAAGCGCCTAGGGGTGTTGCATCTACCTCCCTCTACATTCACGGCCTGGCATTTTCCAGACAGACCTCGCCATGTTTGCCTTACAACCGACATATTCGATCCCGCTGCCTGGCACTTTCCAGCAAGGTATTTCTTTAACGCCAATTCTTAAGCGTCAGTCGTTCTTCCGCTGGTTACGCAAGCCACATGGTTTATCCTGCGCGATACTCCGCCGCTGCATTGGCCGATGGGTGCGTATCCGCCCCCGAACTTGCAATAGCAAGATATTGTCACCGGTCACACCGCACCCAGCCGTTGTAAACGAAGTCATCATCATTGTCCCTCCAGTTCGCACGTCCCCACATTTTTCTTATGCATATTGGTTCTGACGTCAACGCCGCGTTGATCCGACGGCCGGTACGTGGAACGCAACGCTGCAGGAATCACGATGACGACGACACCGTCAGTGACACCGCCTCACTCGGGCTGGGTGAAGCGGACGAGATATTCGACAATGTCAAGACCGTTTTTCCAGAGCTTTTCGAAATAGAAGAGGCCACTTCCGCCGGTGTCGGGGAACAACTGGTTATTTCGGCAGAGCCGTGTGAGAACGTGGCTCCATCATACGGACGATCTGCTTCTCGATGTCTCGGTAGGTTTCCTTTCAGCAGGCCCATCGCTTTTATGTTCTATCGCACACACGTTCTCAGCGCTTAGTAACACCAGCGATATGTTACCTTTCGTCGTTCCTAACATTCATCCTCCCAACCACCCATTCAGGACCCAATACAATTCGTGAAGACAACTACGACAACGCAGAAACACAGGCCAATGTGAATGATGCGACTTATATCAGGGAAACTCCATCAGCTTCTGCGTTGTCCTCGGAAACCGCCTCGGTTGTAGATGATCCGATAGAGGAGTGTGTGGGAAGGGGCTTCACGGTGGTTGATGGGCTTGAAGGCGAACGCAGGGCAAGATGTCCTAACTTTTTTTGTGGTGACCCTTGTTTGAAAGAAGTCGTGGTACGAAGCGAGAAGGTGCTTGTTCGTAGTGATGGCGCGTCAGCAGTAACTTCCGCGATTGCTGCTGGCGTTGGTTCACCATCCCACAGCGGATACCCCGCTGACACGGGCATCTACACCAAGGTTGACTCGCGCATTGACACGAACGTTGACACTGACGCCGGCACTGACACGAGCACCGACAGGATTCACGGGTTCCTTGCGTGGGGCATAAATGGCCGCGCTAGGAGGCCACGGACGTGGGCTAGGAAGGGTCGTGCTCTGCAGCAGGCGTGGAAGTCAGGGGCGTGCAGCACTAGAAGTAGCACCAGCAGTGGGGCTTTGCCAGCAGCAGCTGTTGCTCTGCCAGACGGAAGGGGTGGTATTGGGTTGGTTGATTTCCCCGTGTGGGCCAGGAAGGGCCGTGCCCGGCGGCGGATACTGCGGAGGTGGGGAGTAGCAGGGAGCAGTACGGACATGATGTGTGAGTGTGAAGAGGAGGGGAGTGGAGTGGATGAGGAGAGGAGCTGGGTGTGTGAGGAGGTATCTGGGCAGAGTGAGACAGGTTTGGAAGGATGCAGTCTGGAGATTGAAACTGCACAGAGTGCTAGGGAGAAGAATATATTCTGTGGTTCTTGTAAACGAGGCAGCAGCTCTCATGCATGGGATTGGGAAGTTGTGACCGTGACTAGGTCTGGAAGACTAGTGCGTACTCCTAGGAGATTTAATGACTGCTTAGAACTAAAATTGGGAATGTAGAAGTTCGAATATAAAAGTATGGTAGAGTTAGGGACTATCTATGATGTAAGACATTTTGTAACTGTTGAGATGGTATTCATAGGCATTATCGATAGCAGACATGGTAAGGTCCAAACATATCAATATCTGCACATGATCTGAACAATCTAGTATTGTTTGTTTTGTATTCTGTCATGGTGGTTCTTGTGAGATCAAGTTGTAATTGTGTGGTTGTTTTGGTGGAACTTGTTACATATTTTGTTGCCTCCGCTATAGACGGTTTCTGGAAGTCGTACACTTTCGCCTAGTCACGTTGATGGATGAGCCTTGAGAAGCTGTCATCCGAGTGGAAGTAGGCTGAACTCTCCAGTCTCCAACCACCACGTGGCATCACAACACGCTGGCCGTTCGTCATTGAGATGGATGTGCGACCCGTCGTTCCAGGCCCCCCACCATGACCACCAATCCCCCAGGCCTCCGCGTTGACCGCCAATGTAAGCAAAATTCATCGCATCCTGGACTCCCGCACCGCGGTATTCGTCCCGAACGTATCTCGCCCACCTCTCTGAAGTTCACAGTTGGTTTGGGTGTCAACTGCACTCCAAACGCCCACCAGTTTTCGAGTGTGTGATGGTACAAATCGTGCAGAAGTGGACTATTTTTGTAGAACCAACCTCCGTAATTTGGGTTTCCTCAGGCTGACACTTCTGGTACCAAAGCAGAGGGCTTCGTCCTAAGTCGCGCACAATGGCGACTGTAAGCTTTGCCTCGCGGGGCTCCAAGCTGCTCACCCCCTCCCAAGCCAGCGCCAACGCGCGCGCCGCTGATCCGCAGCAGTGGGAAGATGGCTCCCTCCGCCGCGTCTCTTTGCGGAAGGTTCCGCGCGCGCAGCCGCACGCCGCCAGACGCGCGCAAGCGGCGGAGCGCAAGGGGCGGAAGCCGCTGGTGGTGAAGGCGCTGGTGGATGTCAGCTCCATCGACGCCGTAAAATTCGACTCGCTGGTTCGACGCCGCGTCGTCTTCGGCCATGACGAGTGGAAGGTCCGTGGCGCGATTTGGGCGATCTGGATCCAACGATCCAAAAAAGCAGCATTTTTTTCCCGCTTTAGCGTGATTCGTGTTAGGCCTGGTTCCCCTTTGAACTCGCGCATGCTACCTCCCCCTTCCGCTCACTCCCCTCACTCCCATCCCGCGTTGCCCCCATTCCGCGTGACATTGCGCAGAAGCATAAGTCGAGCGGGCGCTACTTCCGCCACATCAAGACCATCCTCACCTCCAAGGTCATCGGCGCGCTCGGCCTGCCCGTCGGCGTCATGACCGGCATCGCAACCGCAATTTGCGGGTGGAACGAGCTCGCAGGCATGGGCGCGCTCCCAGAATGGGCTCATATACTCCACATCTCCAACCTCCCGTTCACCCTCACGGCGCCAGCGCTCTCCTTCCTCCTGGTTTTCCGGACCAACTCCAGCTACGGGCGGTTCGACGAGGCGCGCAAAATGTGGGGGCTCATGCTGAATCGCTCGCGCGACATCACGCGACAGGCGCTGTCGTACATGGCGCGCGACGACCACACGTACGAGTACCCGAAGCGCGCGCAGTTCATCCGGCACCTGCAGGCGTTCCCGCTCGCGTACAAGCACCACTTCCTCCAGGAAGGCTCGCTCGAGGAAGATCTCCGGGTAAGTGTTTCGTCTTAGTAGGCTCGTCAATTTGAATGGATGTCAAAAACAATTGGTAATAGACAGTCCAAAATGTGGGGTAAGGAAACATATGCTAGGAAGCTGAGCTACTAGGCGGGGCAGATCCCCCACAGAATTTTCGGCTGCTTGGTTTTAGAACATTTTATCCCGCCCTTCCCAATCCATTCCTTTTCCGTGCGCCCGCTTGCTCCCCGCTTCGAATTTCCCCCCCGCAGCAATTCACGACGCTGAGCGACGCGGAGATCAAGGGCGTGCTGGGCGCGACGCATCGCCCCAACTACGTGCTGCAGATGATGTCGGAATGCATGCGCTCCTGCACCATGGAGCCCGCGCACCGCCTCGCTATGGTACGTGTCGATACACGCTCTGGTTCATGTATTATCACATGTATTGCACAAGCCTACTATGGTAGTGGCTTTCCAGTATTTATGTTTGACATTGCCTAATGTTCTTTCCTCAAACTCTGCTCTTTCAGGAGGCCAACTTCGCCACGTTCGCTGATGACGTGGGAGGCAGCGAGAGGCTGTTCAAAACGCCCATCCCACTCTCCTACACGCGGCTCACCTCGAGATTCCTCGTGCTCTATCACATGTTCCTGCCTCTCGCGCTCTGGGACCCCCTCGGCTGGCTCACGATCCCCGTCACCGCCATGTGCGCGGGGGTCTTTTTCTGCATCGAGGAGGTCGGCGTGATTATCGAGAATCCGTTCCCCATTCTCGCCCTCGATGTCATCGCGCAATCCGCGCGCAACAACGCCGCGGTACGAAAATTCAGCGCCCCCCCTCCCTAACCCCCTTCTACCCCGGACTTCCGAATCCTTAGTGTCCCCTTGCCCCTTCCCATTCTGTATCCTTTGTTCGCATATACCCGTCCCTGCTGGTATCACCCCTTCCTGCACGTCTCCTCAATGTGTTAGTCTTATCTTCACTCCCTCACCATGGCTGTGTGCAGGAGCTGGTGTCGCTGCACGAGGGCATTCGCGAGCTGGTGGTGGGCGACGACGAGGAGATGAAGATGCTGTCGATCGTTTCGCAGCAGGCGCTGCTGCCGGCCGAGCCTGCATTTGTCGCCGAGCCTGAACCAGAATACTCGTCGGATTGGGATGAGGATGTTGCCGCTCTCGTCTCTCCCCCGAACTCTCGTTAGGCTCAACCCCAGTTAGGAATGTGTCCTGTGCGAGTGTAGTTAATCACAACAAGCACCTTTGGATAATGTTATGCTCTCTATATTATTACTAGATCTGTACTGTCACAATATAATACAAACTGTTGTTCATTAACAATTTTAAAATTTATCACAAGCCAACTAAATTGGAGATAACAGTATATATCACAAGAAACATTTCAATATTCTTTCTTATTCTTTCCTTGGTTTGATTCCTTAGCTCTAACCTGGATTTAATAGTGATACCACCGAAATGGACAGTAATGTTCTTTCGAAGGCACTCCACATACAACAGCCTGACAGTCAAAGCTCCAAGCTAAACACTGCAACCCAGGTCCGGCCAGACCAAACCAATATCTCCAAGAGCAGAGACAGCATCCCGGTTTCCTGCTTAGGCAACGAGGGTGCTGGCAGTGCCGGACTCGCTGCAAGGACATCAAGAAGTAGAGAGAAAAGATGGGATGGCAAGGATGAGATATCAATTGGAAGGGTCATACATGCAGCATGGCTCTCGGAACCCTTGCACGCACGGTACCCATTGCTTCTAGGTTCACGTGTCAGCTTATGGCGCCAAGTGCAAGCAGCAACGACGGTTTGAGCCCATAGAGCCGAATTCACACAAAGAATAGAGTGAGAGAGAGTGTAGAGAGAGAATGGGGGAGGGGGGGCGGGGGAGAGAGAAGGTGGGGGAGGGAGAAATGTAAGGGAGAAATGTAAGGAAGAAAACCTCAGCAGCAAAATGCACTCACTACTTCCAGTTGGGCGGCAGCTTCTTGGTCCACTTGTAGTAGCGCGCGAGGCGGTGTACGCGGCTCTCGATGAGAATGAGGCGGAACTTGGAGTCCTTGTCCTTGCGGTTGCGCTCCAAGTGCTTGCGCACCGCCAGCGCCTTCTTGATCAAATGGTAAAGATCCTCGGGGATCTCAGGTGCCAGGCCTATTAATGGGGAAGAGAGGGGTGGGGAAGGATTAATTACGGTTGGGAACATTGCGGAACAAGCGCCTTTTAGATCAGATGGTACAGATCCTCGGGGATCTCGGGCGCCAGGCCTGAGGGGGGTGAAGAAAAAGGGAAGATTCATTGAGGGCCGGGGCCTTTTTCTTCAAAGATTTCAGAAACCTGACCCAGGGCGATTGCAAGTGGAAAAAGCTGATGGGTTCCGAATCCAAAACATTTGACACAGAAAAAAAGCATCAACCTGTAGCGTAACCAAAACCCGGAACCAGCAATTTCTATTAGGAGCCTGGACGAACACGAGCGCCCGAGCGCAATGGAGGAATGGAGCGGCACATACCGAAAACGCCCTCTGACCGCTCACTGCTCCGGCCGTGCGGCCCGCAGTGAAGCTTACAGAAAGGGACGTAGGAATATTCGAGGGGGGTTTACCCCCGCAGAGAAGAGTTTTCAGGTCAGGTACCGTGAGCCTTGAGAATGCGCAGGACCTTGCTGCCCGTGACGCCGGACACCTGCGCGATACCATGCGAGTCCCTCAGAATGACGCCGATCTGCGACGGCGTCAGACCCTTCTTCGCGAGCTTGCAGATGTGCTCGTCGACCTGGCATAGGATGATGGCAACGAGCGGACGGAAAAGCAAATGAGTGAGACACTTGAGACGAAAGCGTGAAACGATGAGGAATCGACCAATTCGTCGCGAGCTTGCGGATGTGCTAGGTAGTAAGAGCGTGTGCCAGGGTCATCGAAGCACGACAATCGTAACACAGAGCGTCGGGAAATGCGTATTTCCAGAAGGTCTCTCGTATGCCAGGAACAAAAAATCGTCTATTAACCCACACTGGTACGCCTATTCGTGGTTTTAGGGTTGATCTCTTAGGAGAGGCGAACGAAACAATGTATGAAAATTGGGGTAAGGAGAGAAAGCACGTGCCTCGGGGGCTGAGATCTTCAACCAGCTCGGAGGAGTGCGCTTGTAGGGCAGGGCGGAGCGCGAAATACCCTTTCTGCATCAACCCAATCACGAGTGCACAAAACGCGAACTACGCGCGTCAGCGTGCCAACTCTAACAAACTGAGAAAACAAGGAACATAAGCGCGGTTAGAATCTACTGACCCGTGACTGTGCATACGACCCATGGCGGCGGCTGTTAAGGAGACTGCCCACAAGGCGAGGAAGAGGTGAGAGAAATGGAACTACGGGAAAGGGAAAAGCCCGTGGCTGTTGGAGCCAAAATAGGGTTGCGGGGTTCTGAGGTACTGCCTCAGAAGGACTGCCACGGGAGGAATGGATGGGTGAACGTGGGGAAGAGAAGAGGAATAGGGGAAGAGAAGACGCCAGAAGAAACTTGAAAGCTTGATCCAACGGACACCGTTAGTGCGTGCGAGGGATGAGGGTTTATGACAGCGGGGACACATGAGTCCTCCGTCACGGGGACACCGTTTACTGTTTACAGTGTAGGGTCACAGCCACTTCACAGAATGTAATAAAAACACAATAACACATCTGAAAAGGGTACTCTGCCCACATGGCAGATCATTTCAAATGACAAATTTGAAGAAGATGGTAGCTTTCTACTATAAAAAAATAATATATCTACTCTTATGTCACGCATAACCCCAATCCGGTGCTAATTATTTGTCAAAGTTAATGCACACATAAGAATTGTTTCATTGCTCCGTGTAATGTACTTTCTGCTTTCTACCGCGATACGCGGCCAGCCACAAGCTCAATCAAAGCTCGCTCCGCATCACGCGGCTGCGAAAGACCAATCAAAATTCGCTCCGCGTCAAGCGGGCGACGAAACCACAGTCCACCACAGCCTACTTCGCAACCCCCATCTCCTTGTCGAGGGAAATTCGGGATAATTATTGCCCTTTTCAAAATTCGTCGCCATTATTCCATGCGACGCTAGACAGGAGCTCCTGGCTCATGGCTTGCTGTAACGCCGCATGCTACGCCGTCTCTCTTCGCGTCGCTCTGGTGAGCCCCCTTATCACTCCCGCCAATGGGCATCCGTCGGGGTTGCACATCCATGCCTCTGGAAATATATAAATGCTAGCAGTTCAGTTGTGAGGCCCATCCAACTTCTCACAGGCATTCGAATCTCCCACATCAGGATTTAGCTTCCTCGCAAGTTTTTTTCACATCGCAGAGTCACTTCGCGGTACGTCGCGTGCACACTCAACTAGGCTTCACGTTAATTCTTCATACATATCGCCGCAATACCCAACCCGCCATGGCTCTCCGCTACCTCTCTCTTCTCCTCGTCCTCCTTGCGGCCTTCGCGCTGACCGTCGCTGCTGCCGATCCCACGGCTCCCCGCGTCGCGCAAATCACTCCTGATGGTACCACCCGTGGCGCCAGCGTTACCACCAGCCGGCGCGCCTTGGCCGAATCACCGGCACCCAAGCGGATCTTCGAGGCGTATCCTGACACGAGCCTCGCCAAGAAGATGAAAGACAAGGCCGCGAAAATGGCGAGCGATGCCGTTCTCGACGCGATTAAGGTTATGCGAGACCCCATCAAGGCGGCCAAGGACCCGGAGAAGCAGAAGGCGTTGGTGAGGGCTGCGGCGAAGAAGGCGGCGAAAGCGCTCGCGAATGCCATGTTTCCCGGCCACGCGGGGGCGGTAACCGCGGCGTTCTATGTTAACCAGTACGTGGTGCCGTTGCTGGAAGCTGAGATCAAGAAGCGCCTTATTAAGGTGAAGACGGAGTAAGGTGTGAACTTCTTTGGGGCTGTGTCACGTGAGTGCCGCTGCTGGAGGCGGAGATTAAGAAGCGGCTCGTTAAGGTGAAGACGAAGTAGGTTGTTTGGTTCGAATTTCGAAATGCCCTTAAAGCTGGGTGAAAGGTCGAGATTTACAAGGACTTTCACTCAGCTTCGAAACTCAACTCGCTGCTAATCCCCGAGCTTCTGGGCTGACTCATATAACAACCCATGCATGGTGCTGCTGCTGGGGCCAGATATCGACTAGTGGCTCTTTCCAGTGGGGAAGAGGGTAGATGGGGGGATGGGATATATGGGGGCGTATAGGAGAGTGGGGGAGTGTGTGGAATGGTGTTAGTTTGAGGAGGGGTAGAAGGTGTTGGAAGGAGGTGAACAGAAATGGATGCTAGCATGACTAGCCGTAGGCTGTCTGTTTCCATACTCGTGTGAAAATAATCTGGCTGTACAATTCTTCGTTGAGCAATGCGAGATTGTGCTGGTTCACTGTGTTTCCACAAGCCCTGAAATCGGAGAATTGGGATGGGAGGAAAATTGATGAACGTTATCTGCTCCTGCCACATGAACAAGGGGGGATACTAATGCCAACACTGGGAAGATTAAGGAAGACGAAATAACCATATATATATATTAATACACTAAAGTTTGGCAGAGTCAAACTGATTAACTAGTCCTGAACCACACCGAACAATCCTACACGGGCCAAGGTTGCCACGCGAGCAACCTACAACCAGCTATAAATGTATGCTATTGCTGTATTCTAATCACCATCCATGCGTCCAAGATATGTATGTAGATATGTCCTCGTGTCCCATGCTGTAGGTAGAGCCTTGAACTCCCTTCTGACGAGCAATTTCAATGGCAGACAACCCACTGTCACTGAGCCAAGTGTTACCGAGCCAAGTGTTACCAATGCAAGTGTTACCGTACCGAGAGAGTGTTCCCGAGCCATCTGTTACCAAGCCAAGTGTTACCAAGCCACATGTTACCATGCCATGTGTTACCATGCCAAGTGTTACCATGCCAAGTGTTACCGTGCCAAGTGTTACCATGCCAAGTGTTACCGTGCCAAGTGTTACCATGCCAAGTGTTACCGAGCCAAGACTGGCTGGGTCTTCACATGATGCCCTTTACCCGGAGCTCTGTGCCCCTTCCCTGCAGGGTGGCCCCCTCCTGGCTTCTTAGGCGGTGCCGCTTCAGTCCTCCACTTCTTCCCACGTTTCACTCTACCCGCAGTTACAGGGTTACCAGCACCTACTGCTCCTGCTGCTGCCGTGCCGCCCGCTCCCACTTGAGCATTGCTGCTGGTGGCGGCTCCTCCGTTTGAATCAATGCTGTAGCTTGCATTCGGTACAGTCACACCCCCTGTGGTCTGCGAGCCTATAGGAACGTCTTCTCCCGTTTGAGGGGGGATGACGGTTGAGGGGATGGTGGGATCATTGATGTTGCCGCCGCCACCGCTGCTGCTGCTGCCACTGCCGCTGCTGCCACTACTGCTGCTGCTGCTGCCTTGGCTGCCCGTGCTGCTGCCTTGGCTGCCCGTGCTGCTGCTGCCACCACTGCCCGTGCTGCTGCTACCTTTACTCCCTTGACTTTCCTGACTGCCGGCGCCGCTGCCGGAGTTGCTGCCGCCCGCATTGACCTTGCGGCCGGCGGGAGCAGGAGAGGATGCTGACGCGGCAGGGGACACGTCAGCATCGGGAGTACCGGGGGCGGGGCCGCCACCAGCAGTGCTGCTTCGTCCGAAAGAGGAGCTGTCGGTTCCAGGAGTTGTGGCAGGGGTGGTTGTGACAGGAGGGGTTGTTGCAGGGGCGGTAGTGCCAGGGGCGGTAGTGCCAGGGGCGGTAATGCCAGTGGCGGTAGTGCCAGGGGCGGTAGTGCCAGGGGCGGTTGTTCCAGGGGCAGTTGTTCCAGGGGCAGTTGTTGGTGGGGCGGTTGTTGCAGGGACGGTTGTTGCTGGGGGGTTTGTTCCTGGGTCGGTTGTTACAGGGGGAGTGGTTGCTGGGGGGATGGTTGCTGGGGGGATGGTTGCTGGGGGCACTGCTGACGGGGAAGGTACTGCAGAGCTGCTGTTGTTCGTGGCGTTGTTGCTGTCTCCGCTAGCGGCATTCCCATTACTGCCATTGTCGCCGTTCTTTTTCTCCGGTACATCTGTATTGTTCCCCACGCTGCTGTTACTCCCGCCATCCCCGTTAGTATCCGAACTGTTATACCCACTCGTAAACTGCGCGCCGCAAGTGTAATCCCCAGGATAAATCGCTGGAACGCAATTCTCCCCCGTTGTAATCACAGCCCCGTCCATCCCCGATGTAAGCCGAAACTTCAGCGGCCCCTCAATGTAACTCCAGCTGACCCAATTCGTGCCCCAGTCGTGCGTGAGCGGGCGCCAGTTGGGGTCGTTCTTAGATGACACCTCCACCAGAGCCACCTCCCCCGGCCCGCCCACGCGCAGCAGCAGCACGTTCATCCAGTAGTTGGTGCCGGTCACGCGGAAGGTGATGGACGTGGGGAAGGAGCACGGCACCCTGTGAGGGGAAAGAACCAATACAGAGCGAGGAACACAGGAGGGACAGAGGAGGGACACGGGAGGGGAAGGAGAGATAAGCAAATGGGTTTTTCGAGGACACCTCCACCAGTGCCACCTCCCCCTGCCCGATCACGCGCAGCAGCAGCACGTTCATGCAGTAGTTAGTGGGCTCACCTATTTTTGACTCCACTAAAAAACCACGTTGAACCAGTAGTTCGTGGGCTCACCTTTGGTAGGCGAGCGGAATGACTCCCGCGACTGGGTCCGCGATGATGCCAAATGCGGGCTGGCGGACTGACGGACGGACACCGACGGAGAGTGACGGAAGAGTGACGGACACTGACGAAGACTACCGGAGACTGACGCCATGCGCGCTCACCTCTGGTAGGCGAGCGGAATGACTCCCGCGACGGGGTCTGCGATGATGCCGAACGCGGGCTGGCTGAGGTCGAAGTGCGTGCACGTGGCGCAGCACACTCCGCCGCCCGGACAAAAATCTGTGATGGGTACCGTGATCTCAGCATCCTTGCACCACTGGCTGTCCACGCAGCGCACCCTGCGGCGGAGGAGAGAGCAGAGTAGAAAGGGGGGAGGGGGTGGGAGAAGGGGTATGAGGGACTATGGGTACCGTGATCTCCGCGTCCTTGCACCACTGGCTGTCCACACAGCGCACCCTGCGGCGGAGATAGAGAAGCAGAAAGTAGGGAGAGGGGGGGTTGCTCAAATGAGGGTTTATGGGCACCACCATTATGGGTGTATTCTTGTATGACTAGATGTCTACGCACCACACTCGGAGAGAGGAGGGAGGGCGGAGGGGGGAGGGAAAAGCGGGGAATTATGGGGCGACTGTGCTGAGGGGGAAGTAACATGATTTTTACTCAAGGGAGGGTTAGTCTACGGAGAGAGCAGGCGTGGCTTACTTGTAGCACGCGCCGCAGCCTTTCCCACCCTTGTAAAGCGGCGCGCTTCCCGCCGCGATGAGCGGGCCGTAGCCGGATTCCGCAAGGACGCCGTATCCGCAATTGCCACCTGTCAGCACGTCATTGGAAGGGATTTGAGATGCGAGTGAGCGAAACAAGTTACAATGTATCAAGGTGGCAAGAGAAGAAAGTTGCACGAAAGTGAGATGAGCGTGCGGTTGTAACTGCGTTGCGGTTCGTTAGTTGTGATTTGGGACCGAGAAATAATAAAAATAGAAATCTCACCGTCGCCGCTGCCATAAAAGGTGGCTGTTGCTCGTCCCGTGTCGCCGTAAGAGGCTGATTCTGTAACAGTCGAGAGCGCCACGATTGCGAATGCTACAGTGAGCATCCGAACGTGCGAAAGTAGCTCCAACATTCGTACGCAACGTGCTGCCATGCCGTCGTGTTGAAATTTGACCGTTAGTTTGATTCCACCTTTCTATGACGTTCTCCCGTGCTTTTGTTCTTCGCGCGTCACTCGTTGCCACCCTTCTAAGAAAGTATTATTCTTGAATGAAAGTTAGCGTTGCTCGTACGCGTGTCGCTATCGTCCGCTAAGATATCGAGTGGAATGGCGCTGGTTCAAGGGCTTCGAATCCCAGAGCGGAGGGTAAGCTGATTGAAAAAATGGTTGAATGGGACGCCCACTATGACGGGTCGCTAGTTGATGAGGGCTAGTGGGATGAAGGTGCAATAGCGCGATTCAGGTACGCCTGGAACAGACTTGGAGGCTCGCGTCGAGTTGAGCTGAACAAATGTGAGTGTGAAATGCCGTTGCCGAATGCGCGGCTCGCTGATAGTTCCACTCCACACGATTTGCTGGTGGATGGGGTTTTCCACCTTCGCAAGGTGGGGGAGCTTGACCAGCTGGCGCAGCGCTAAGTAGCCCTGCGATCGCTTTGCGACAGGCGGGAATGGCTTCGTTGAAACCTCTGCGACGTCTCTTGGTGTCAGATGTGGCGAACTGTGCTTCACTGTCGCACAAAGCCAGGACGTTGCCTTGGAGACTTGGACCCGGTCAGGCTAACACAGAAATCATTTCGTATGGGTACACGAATCGCGGTGCATGTGGATGAATTCAAGCAGGGATTGGCCAGCCGAAATGCTGGTAACCAGGCGGCTCGTCTGGCCCGATTCGCATCGAGGAGAGCTGGCTGGATTGCCCCAATGACCTGAAGAGCGTGGGAGGAAAACTCCAGCTGGCCCGGAAGGCGAAACAAAGTGGGTGGTTGTTTCTGCGATGTTGCCTTGGCCAAAGGTCTGACAGCTGCAATTCCCCCTGACACGGTCACCACCAAGCATTTGAGCTGCCCGCTACATGAAATATTGGCAAATTGCCCCGCAAAAATAACGATCACGACGGGGCTCTGATTGGATGAGGTGCATATCAGAACGGTTGTTTTGAAGTTTCAGTTCAGCACCACTGGTTATGTTGCTGAACGCACATCAGAGCGGTTCGAAGTGGTGAGTGGACGAATAATTATAATGCGCATAGTCCAAAACCAAACCCTCACAAATAATCTATTGGTACTTAGTTTAACAACTAACCCAAATCATCTCAATCAGATTGCCTAAGGTCTTTGACAAATCCATATATCAAACGCTGAACCTGGATTCCATCCACTTGATTTTGCACTTCTTATAAACAAGTGGTATTCATCCTCTTGGAGCCTAGCTTCTCCCTACCCAACTAAGGGCAGGGCACAGCTACGGTAAGTGCACATCTACAGGAAATCCTACCCTGCAAAAGTGCAGTCGCTTTAAACTCCTAAGCACAACACACTGCTTGTCATGAACCATCCTCGTATACAATACCACTCAATCCCAAACCACCACCTAATTAGGCCTTAGTCTCAAAGCCCACCCACCGCCACCTGAGTGATGATACCAGCAGCACCAAGTAGAAAATCAAATCTAGTAGTCCATGCCGCCCATGCCACCCATGCCGCCCATGCCACCCATGGGGCTGGGCTTGGGGTCTTCCGGAAGGTCAACGACAACAGCCTCGGTGGTGGTCATGAGGGACGCCACACTGGCCGCATCCACGAGCGCCGTGCGGATTACCTTGAGAGGATCAATGATGCCCGCCTTCACCATGTCCACATACTCGCCTGGTGGGGGAGTGGTGAAGGGAGGGGGGGTGTGGGCGGGGTGGAGGGCAAGAGAAAGGGACATTCGGAAGAGGTGGGTCAGTCCAGCTCGGATCACCTTGACCGGATCGATGATACCTGCCTTCACCATGTCCACGTACTCGCCTGGTGGTGGGGGGGGGAGAGGGGGGAGCAGAGAGGGGGGGGGAGAGGGGGGAGCAGAGAGGGGGGGGGAGAGGGGGGAGCAGAGAGGGGGGGAGGGGAATGGATAAGGGAGGGGTTGGGAAAAGGGGGGGGGATAGTGGTAAAGAGAAGGGAGAGAAAAGAGGACAGTTGAGAACACATGGGTGAGGCAAGGCTGTGGATGTGCATGTGGGTGTGTTTGTGGATGTGGATGTGGATGTGGATGTGGATGTGGATGTGGATGTGGAGGTGGATGTGGATGTGGATGTGGATGTGGATGTGGATGTGGATGTGGATGTGGATGTGGATGTGGATGTGGATGTGGAGGTGGATGTCATTGTATGAGTCGCGACTGATGACAACAGCCTCGGTGGTGGTGATGAGGGACGGCACACTGGCAGCGTCCACCAGCGCCGTGCGAATGACCTTGCCCACAGCACCTCACAGCATCCCACAGCACCCCACAGCATCCCACAGCACCCCACAGCATCCCACAGCACCCCACAGTTGGCACCCAACTATGTGCACAGTCATCCTTGGCGTCGCCATGGCCCCTGCTGAGGTTGCTATGCTGCAGCAGCTTGCCTGCAGCCGCCCCCAACTTGCACCCAACAACTGCAGTCCCTCACGAATCCGAGCAGCCCGAGCCAAGTTTTTGAGTCAACTAAAAAACACAACTTGCACCCGGCCCAACAACTGCAGTCACTCAAGAATCCGAGCAGCCCGAGCCAGCCCTTCCACCCAAGCAGCCGTAGCTCATACGCACCCTTGGCAGCATCGTAGCCCCAGTCGAGGTTGGTCTGCTCCAGCAGCTTGCCCACGATCACCGCCCCCTCCACCCCTGCGTTGTTCGCAATGGTCAGCGCTGGCGTCTGATGGGATGGGGAGGGAGGAGGCAATGGAGCGGTGGGATGGGAGGGGTCGTGGTGGAGGAAAGGGGAACACAGAGGTTGGAGTCAGAAGAGTGTAATCTTGTCAAGATCCCGAGAGGCATATAGCAAAGCCGATAGTGCAAGACAATCACCGGACGGGACGTTCACTCACCCTGAGCGTCCCTGATCCCTGGACGCTCAAGGGGGCATTCAGATCATCAGAGACGCTCAGGGTGAGTGAACGTCCAGGGTCCAGGGTGAGCGTGCTCAACGTGTCCAGGGATCTCGACACGCTCACTGCTGAGCCACACCATGGGGGGGGGTGAGCCTTTCAAGGAGAGGGACGTTTACTCACCCTGAGCGCGTCTCTGATGATCTGGATGCCCACTTTCTGGTCGAAATTCTCCGCAGTGAGGGTGTCAAGGTCCCTGGAGGCGTAGAGCAGAGCCACACCGCCGCCCGGCACGATGCCCTCCTCCACGGCGGCCTTGGTGGCGTTCAGAGCGTCCGTCACCCGATCCTTCTTCTCCCCCACCTCCACCTCGCTCGCACCGCCGATCTGCACGCACGTGGGTAAGAGAAGAGGGGCATGGGAAAGGAAGAAGCTAGTTAGTGTTGGGCTTCAAGGCGAAAGGGGTTCAGTGCGCCCGTCATCCGATCCTTCTTCTCCCCCACCTCTACCTCGCTGGCGCCACCAATCTGCAGGCACGAGGAAAGACGGCGTGTGGTGGGAGGGGGAAACATGGGAGGAGACACACGGAGGACGAACACTGGCTGGTTCTGGGCACAGAACCAGCAGCAAACATGGATCACCCAGCTCTCTTCACTCATCACTCGTCATCAATCAGCACCACCCAGCACCACTCAGCACCCACATGCCCACCCACCTTAAGCACGGCCACACCACCAGACAGCTTCACCACACGCTCCCTGCAGCTGTATATGGTGCGAAGTCCCTCTCAACAACCCACTCTGCTCACCACAGCCGGCCAGCACCAATCACCCAGCACCTGCCACCACCACTCAGCACCACTCAGCACCCACATGCCCACCCACCTTAAGCACGGCCACACCACCAGACAGCTTCGCCACACGCTCCCTGCAGCTGTATATGGTGCGAAGTCCCTCTCAACAACCCACTCTGCTCACCACAGCCGGCCGGCACCAATCATCCAGCACCTGCCACCACCACTCAGCACCACTCAGCACCCACATGTCCGCCCACCTTGAGCACAGCCACACCGCCAGACAGCTTCGCCAGGCGCTCCTGCAGCTTCTCCTTGTCATAGTCTGACGTGGCGTTGGCCACTGCCTCTCGGATCTGAAAGACGAGGAGGAGCAGCGAAGGCGAAAGGGCAACGGGAGGAATGTGGGTCAGGGGGTGTGTATGCTGTGAGTGTGGGAAGAGGGCGCTCCTGCAGCTTCTCCTTGTCGTAGTCCGACGTGGCGTTGGCTACAGCCTCACGGATCTGAAACTCGGAACAGAAACACGACAGGGAAGTGGGTGGAATGGGGAGAGGTGAGGGGCGTGGGGTGAGCGGGTGCGTATGCTGTGTGTGCGGGAGGGCGTCAGGGCGTCTGAAAAGAAAATGAGCTGTGGAGAATGGCATGGCATGGCGTGCTATTCACATTGAACGCATCTCACCATGACGTAGCTGTGAGTTCCTTCTTACCTGCTCGCACCGCTCCTCACCTGCTCGCACCGCTCCTCCAGGGCCTTCTTGTCGCCAGCTCCATCCAGAATAATGCTGTCGTCCTTTGATATCGTCACCTGATGGCAGACACACACAGCCACACGCACACACACAGCCACACAAATTGAATGAGCCCTACATACACGAACATACTCCATAGACGCAAAGAGCCCTGCAGAAGTTAACCCCATGAGCGAACCTATGCGCACACACAGTACCACCTCTTGGCGGACCCCAGGTGAGACGCGTCCACCTCTTCCAATGAACACCCCAGGCCTCACCTCTCACACCCACGAGCATACAGACACACATACCCCCTCCTCTTCTCCCCCACACAGACGCACACAGAACCACCCCCTCACCTTCTTGACGGACCCCAGGTGAGACACGTCCACCTTCTCCAACGAGTACCCCAGGTCCTCACGTGATGACACGGTTTTTGAGTCAACTCAAAAACCGACTCACCTCTCACACGAACATGCGCACACACCTTCCCCCTCCTCTCCCCTCCCCCGACCCTTCCACCCCCTCCCCCCCGCCACACATAGACCCACACCCAACCACCCCCTCACCTTCTTGGCAGACCCCAGGTGTGACACGTCCACCTTCTCCAATGAATACCCCAGGTCCTCGCTAATCAGCTGCAGGGGCAGATAGAGGGACGGGGAAAGGGGGGGAGCAGGGAGAGCGTGAGTGACCGTGTGCGTGTGAGGGAGAACGAGGATGAGACACGTCCACCTTCTCCAACGAATACCCCAAGTCCTCGCTGATCAGCTGCAAGGGTAAATTCTTGGACGGGAAGGGGAAATGGAGGGGGAGCGGGGTTAGAAAGGAAATGAAAACACACTCCTGATGCTTGCTGGCAGGCCGGAAATTTTGAATGAATTCGGTTGGGTTGGAAGGAGGGGGAGGGAAGGAGAGGAGGAAACGGGGAGGAGGTGGAGGAGAGGCGTCCGAGAACACAGAGTGAAGGAAACGGTGTGTGAGAGGGAGGGGGGTGTCACGGTGCAACGTACCTGCGAGCCGGTGAGCGTGGCGATGTCAATCATGTTGTTCTTCCTGTTCTCGCCGAACCCGGGCGCCTTCACTGCACACACCTGCCAGATGGGAAGCAACAGGCACGCACGCAGCGCACGCACGGCGACAGAGAGGCAAAGAGGGAGAAGCAAACAAGAATCCATCTTCGTTTGTTGGATGCCATTTGTCTGCTTTCTCTAAATCTTTTCTTCCCGAACTGAACAGATTACCCCAAATCCTCCAACCCCGAGCCCCCCAGCATCAAAGTCCTCATCACCAAGGTGACTTTTGAGACGACTCAAAAGTCACCAAATCCTCCAACCCCGAGCCCCCCCAGCACCAAAGTCCTCAGCACCCTTGCGCAGGTGCAAACACACAGATGCATCAACGCCAACCACGAAACCCAAAGAAACCCAGACTCAGCCCAGCCCAAACACAGGCATTTATCTCACCTTGATTGAGCCCTGCCCTGTTCACCACTAGCATCGCCAGAGCCTCGCCCTGCCGGTCACATCTAAGCCTACAACCCATTCACCTGATGACTTTTGAGTCGACTCATAAGTCACCCATTCACCTGATTGAAGAAGTGTTTTGAGACGTCTCAAAACACTTCTTCAATCACTAGCATCGCCAGAGCCTCGCCCTGCCGGTCACATCTAAGCCCACAATCCATTCACCTCTCCTCTGAAGCCTATGGCTTCAATTTTTGAGGCGCCTCAAAAATCGCCTCGCCCTGCCGATCACATCTAAGCCTACAACCCATTCGCCTCTCCTCTGAAGCCTATGATTTCCTCCTGCTAGCTCTCACATCACATCACAACAACTCACCTTGAGCCCCGCCCGCAGCTTGTTCACCACCAGCGTCGCCAATGCCTCGCTCTCCACGTCCTCTGCAATGATCAGCAGCGGGCGCTGGTACTGTTGGTGGGGAAATTAAGGGAAGGAGGACGGAGGCATTGGAGTTGGCAATGGTTATAAGTGGTGGGAGGTGGTGGTAATGGTGGCAGTGGCGGAGGCGGTGAGAGTGGTGGTGGTAATGGTGGCAGTGGCGGCGGGGCAGCAGTGGAGGGAGGGAACCAGGGGCGACGACGGGGCAGGGAGAGGGGGCAGAAGGGGGGAGCAGGAAGGGAGGGGGGAGAGCAGTGTTACCTTGAGGGCGATTTCGAGGACGGGCAGAATGGAGCTGAGACCCGCGATCTTCTTCTCATGCACCAGCACCAAGGGGTTCTCTAGCTCCTGTGAAGGGGAGGAGGGGGGCAGAGCGGAGCGGCGGACGGCGAGGAGGGGAGAAGGGCGAGGAGGGGAGAAGGGCGCGGAAAGGAGAGAGAAATGTGTATGTGAGACAAAAGGGGTTTCAAAACCCTTGAAACCCCGAAACCCCAAACCCCGACACTCCAAAACCCTTGACCTCACGTATTGAATCGGATGACAGAGCAGAACTCACGCATTTCTGCGTCTTGGGGTTGGTGATAAAGTAGGGCGAGATGTAGCCACGGTCGAACTTCATTCCCTCCACCACCTCCAACTCGTTATAGAGTGTCTTGCCATCCTGTTGCAATTGAACCAGTAAACGTACATGTTGAAAAATAGTCAGTAGACAAACCCATTAGGTGGTGGAGAATCAAGAAATCAGCACCATATAAAGACAGGGCTTAGCTAAAAGCAGTCATGACACCCTTTGTCAGCTGCTTCCATCGCACATGCAACCAGACCTCACCAGTGGAAACCTGAGAAGCAAGCACCACGCCAAATACTTTGCTAAAAGCAGTGGCAAAACTAAGAGCAGCACTCACCGCGACAGTGATGACGCCCTCCTTGCCGACCTTCTCCATGGCCCGCGCAATCAAATCTCCAATCTCCCTCTCGCCATTGGCCGAGATGGTGCCGACCTGGCAGAGGACAAGGGGAGAGCAAGGACGGGATAGGAGCGGGATGAGGAGATGCGGCATTCCTTCGGACCTCTCTTACAACACAACAACACTTCTCCATCTGAAACTCCGAGTAGGAAAATCTACAAGCCACGCGTCCCACCTGGGCGATCTCTTCCGACGTGCTGGTCCGCTGGGATCGCTCCTTGAGCAGCTCAATCACCCGCTCCACAGCCATCGAAATCTCCCGCCTCAAATTCCAAGGTGTCAAACCCCCATACATCCCCCCGACCAGCCGTCACTTCACAGCTCACGACCCTCAATTCCCCCCTTTGACCCAACAGTAACCCACCTGGGCGATCTCCTCCGAAGTGCTGATCCGCCTGGATCGCTCCTTGAGCAGCTCAATCACGCGCTCCACGGCCAGCGAGATCCCTCTCCGCAGACCCAAGGTGCCTAACCCCCGTTCATGCATCTCAAGCCCCACTTTTAGTCCCTCAAGTCCCCCCTTGACCCCCACACAAACCCACCTGAGCGATCTCCTCGGAAGTGCTGATGCGTCGGGATCGCTCCTTGAGCAGCTCAATCACGCGCTCCACGGCTAGCGAGATCCCTCTCCGCAAGTCCATGGCGTTCATGCCCGCGGCCACGGACTTGCACCCCTCGAGCAGAATGGAGCGCGTGAGCACCGTCGCGCACGTGGTGCCGTCGCCCGCGGTGTCGTTGGTGGTGGACGCGACCTGCTTGACGAGGCTGGCGCCGAGGTTCTTGAGCTTGTCCTTGAACTCGATGCTCCTCGCCACCGTCACCCCGTCCTTGGTGATCTTGGGTGAGCCGTACGACTGCTCTATCACCACTTGCCGCCCCTGGGGGGTGAAGGGTGGAGGGAGGTGGGCAGGGAAGGGGGGGGAGAGTGGGAGAGGAAGGGAGAGGAGGGGACATGGGGAAAGCACAAGGGGACAGCGCAAGGGGAGAGGGGGAAGGGCGGTTAGTGGGGATGCCGTCGCCCGCGGTGTCGTTGGTGGTGGAGGCGACCTGCTTGACGAGGCTGGCGCCGAGGTTCTTGAGCTTGTCCTTGAACTCGATGCTCCTCGCCACCGTCACCCCGTCCTTGGTGATCTTGGGTGAGCCGTACGACTGCTCTATCACCACTTGCCGCCCCTGGGGGGTGAAGGGTGGAGGGAGGTGGGCAGGGAAGGGGGGGGAGAGTGGGAGAGGAAGGGAGAGGAGGGGACATGGGGAAAGCACAAGGGGACAGCGCAAGGGGAGAGGGGGAAGGGCGGTTAGTGGGGATGCCGTCGCCCGCGGTGTCGTTGGTGGTGGAGGCGACCTGCTTGACGAGGCTAGCGCCGAGGTTCTTGAGCATGTCTATCATCTATCTATCATAGGCCCATGTGAGCACATCGCCATTGTACCTTGAGTTGATAACCTTCTAATGACATTGGCATGTGCCTTGGGCCCCATGGTGACCCGCATGGCGTCGGCCAGTTGCTCCACGCCCAAGGCACTCTCAGTCGACTCGACTCACACGTGACTGCTACCGTAACCGCATCTACCATAGGGCACAGGCCCGTGCGATGTAAGCACATCCCTGCCGTACCTTGGGTCCCATGGTAACCCGCACGGCATCAGCGAGTTGCTCCACGCCTTGCAGCATGGCGGCCCGCGCCTCCACGCCGAACCGGATGTCCTTCGCCGCGAACCCGCGCTGCCATTGGTGCTGCGCGCCGAGGCACGAGTGGAGAGGGGGGGAGGGAGGGAGGGAGGGAGGGAGGGAGGGGAACGTCACAGATGTGTCACAGGAGGAGAATGAAAATGGACCATTCCGGGCAGGGGTGTGTTACTATTAGAGAGGGAGAAAGGAGGGGAGGGGGGGGGGGGAAGAGGGGGAGGGGAGTGTGATTGTGTAGAAGGGTGGGGTGTAATTGTACAAGGGAACGGGTGGATGTGTGATTGTACGGGGAAACGGGTGATTGAAAGGGGGGGGATGACGAGGGAGAAGCGGGTGTGTGCTGCCGAAGCACCCGTACCTGAGCGACTCTGCTCGTTGCAGGCACGATCGTGATGGAGGGAAAAAAAAACCGCGTCGCCCGCGTGTTGCACGAGAATCCATCACGGTCGGTTGATCGATCGCACCGTCAGCAGCGCCGATGGCATCGTCGCCGAACAGCATGTTTAAGAAGTGCATGCATACCCGCACAGGAAACAGAGGAACGGAGACTTCGGATCTCTCTTACAACCATCAGGAACGAGCGATGAAGAGCACAAGCAACGGCGAGAGAGACATCTGGACGGCCTTTACGTTCTAAATAAGAGACGTCAGGACAGTCAGAGCGATCAGCGATCAGCGATCAGATAGTTTAGCGAGATCAAACGCGTAGATTCATGCACGTTGCCATGGATAAGAAAAACCAGCGGGCCAAAAGCGAATGCCTACTCATGGGCATATCTGGTCACGGACATGTCTAGAGATGAATATGCCTAGTAACACCAGGGCGTACGTGGGTTCATGGACGGGCCTGGTGCCATGGAGCCGAGCGACAGGCTAGTCATGATTCTGAAACCACTGTTGTTGGAAGTAATGAGGCCGCTGGGATCCCGAACGATACTAGATCGTTCGCGAAGTCTCAAAGCCTCGATCCAATGTTTCATTTCAGTGTCTTGATCACACGCAGTCGTTTAGTGGTTTCGATCAACTGCAGTCGTACCTGTGGCTGGCGCTCCCATTATTGGTCGACGATCGGGCTGCAGCAGCCCGAACCGCCGGCGACACTCGCAACAAGCTCCTGAACATGGCTGCAGCGCTGATCCGAAACCCCTAGATACCAGATTCGACACGAGAACGATCGGATCCGACACGTGGAGAGGAGACTAGGATGGGAAGCGGAATGGACGTTGGATCGAAGATGTTTAGAATGAACGGACACGATTAGGCGAATACTGATAAGAGGTTAAGTCGATCTGGAAGAGCTAACAGGTGTTCAAGGGCAAGAAGCACTGGCCAGGAAGAGTCTTCAGGCCAGAGACTGGCAGAGACGCTGCAACGAGAACGCTGGAGCGAGAGGTGGAACGAGAAAGCCGACGATCAGGCTGAACACACAGCAAATGAGCAAATCCGACTGATGAATTCGACTAACTAGGAGCAGGGGAGCCATGGCCCATAGGGCAAGGAGATTGGAACGAGGCGAACCAAGGGGCTTTCGTTATACGCACCAGATTTGTTACTGTAGGTGGATGATTCTATACGGGAATCAGAAATTTGCGTCACATTTTTGCGGCCCAGAAGGTTCGATTCGCTTCCAAACCAGCACGCAACTGCCACGTCACCACTTCTGGTGGCCGCAAGGACTTTTCCGATGCTTCCACAAAGGGTGGAAGATTGATTCAACTCGCAGCCCTCATTTTTTCGAGGCTGGTGTACTTTAAAAATACTCTACAAACATGCAGAGTTCTGACCAATAACGAATCATCTTACAGTCTCCGCAGCCCGAGGCTCATAAGCAACAACCGCAGCAGCCAATATCTCAAAGGAAAACGTTGACACTGTCAAGAGGAATTTCAGCGTCAGAGCTTGCGTGAGGCATTTCGTGCGTGAGCTTCGCTAGGTCGACTTTTCTCGTAAACTAGTGATTCGTCTCGAAGCGACGTGAGCGCTTCGCGCTCTGAGCCGTAGAGTTTCCAATAGCCACGTGGTCTTGGAGCGTAACAGCTCGAATCATGGTTCCAGCAGCGGCAGTTTCGCGCTCGACCGCCAAATCTGCCAGCCGGCTGCTTCTGATACAGTCAAATCCCTCGTTACCGTCACCGTTCTACGCGATCCTCTCGTCGTGCCTTCACAATTGCAGCAACCATGACGGGACCGCGCATGCCTGGAATCAGCAGAGCACCAGCGCCGATTGTCACGAATCTTCGGCACCCTTGGGCCGATCGTCACATGCTGCTGAAATTATTTCAGGAAGTAACAGCCTGTTACCCGCTCACGCCACTCTCGATCCTGGAACGGATCTCGCCCAGCGGCTGGTTGCCTGCGCCGTCAGATCTGATGGGCAAATTCCTTTCATCGGCAAGCAGTCGCCCTCGCCGGCTAGATTAGCTGCTAATCCGCTTCCACCGCACCAGGCGTGCGCTCCGCTTGTTCCACTCACAACCGGCCATCGCAGTGCTCTTAACGAGTTACCTACAAAGGGGGCGAGAAGTTTCGCCTCCGCTTCCCGTCTTTCCGCAGTCCCGACTGGTTTTGCCAGCTCTGCGGGTGCAGCGGCTCCAGCTGTGCGTAGCGGAGCAGCTTTCAGCGGGGATGTCGCGGAAGGAGCAGCGAGTAGCGGGGATGACGCGGAAGCGGCAGGAGGCGGGTCGCAACGGAGTCTCGCGGATGAGATGATTGCGTTCGCGCAGACGTGCCTGGCGAGGGAAGGATCAGATGATGGTGAGTGAGTCAGGATGAGCTTCAGAGGTCGAGGTATCATGTCTGCTCTGCTCCGCGCCTCACGAGCCTGCCTGGCAGCACGTGTCTCGCGGATGACATGATTGCATTCGCGCATACGTGTCTCGCGAGGGAAGGAAATGTGTGCTTCAGAGGTTTAGGGATCCCTCTGCTCTGCTTGTCTGCCTTGCCTTGTTGCCGTGTCGCCTTGTCTTCCCTTCCCTGTTTCAGGAAATCCCTCTGCTCGGCTCATCTGCTGTGTCTTGACCATGGCAGGTTAAGGCAGGGCAGTAGGAGCATTAGGGGAGAGAGAGGTGGGGGAGTGGTGTGTGTAGCTGCGTTCTGATTCCTGCCCTTGATGATCTCCATCTGCTCGTTTCCACTCATTTGTGTGCAGCAGCAGCGGCACAGGAGGCGCTGAGGGTGGTGGAGCACGGGGCGAGCATGCTGAGGGCGCAGGGCGGGCAGGCAGCAGCGTCGCAGGCAGCGCGGCTGCTGCGCTTCAAGGCTGCGCTGCACCTCAGAGTGTACGTTCGCCGTCCTGAGGGTTTGGTTCGGGACTTGAATTTTGAGGGGGACTGAACTGGGCTGTTTGGGGATTCGACATTCGAGTCGACCATGCGGGCAGCGCGGCTGCTCCGCTGCTTCAAGGCTGCACTGCACCTCAGAGTGTACGTCTGCTACTAAGCTGGTCTGGTGTTTGGGTTCTCAGGCTCTCAGGGCGACTTGTGTGAGTAAGGGCAGCGCGGTTGCTGTGCTTCAAGGCGGCGCTGCACCTCAGAGTGTACGTTCGCTCATAAGCTGGTCTGGTCTGGTCTGGTCTGGTCTGGTCTGGTCTGGTCTGGTCTGGTCTGGTCTGGTCTGGTCTGGTCTGGTCTGGGGTTCGGGTTCGGGTTCTCAGGCTCTCAGAATGGTTTGGGGTGATTTGTGTGAGTGAGTAGGCAGAAAGGGCAGCGCGGTTGCTCTGTTTCAAGCCGCTCTGCACTTCAGAGTGTACGTTCACTCATAAACTGGCCCGGACTGGGGGTTTGGTTTTGAGTCGACTCTTAGAGCAGCCCAGCGGCTCTGGTGTGCTTTACGGCCGTGCTGCACCTGAGAGTGTGTGTTTGCTTATACGCCCCTCCTCCTACGCTCCTTTCCTGCGCCCCTTCCCCCGCACAACTTCCCCCGCACCCCTTACCCCGCACTCCTTCCCCCGAACCCTTTCTCTTGCGCCGCTTACTCTGAACCCCTTTTCTCGCGCCGCTTACTCTGAACCCCTTTTCTTGCGCCGCTGACCCCGCACCCCTTCCTCCGCCCCCTTTCCCTTGACGCCTCTTCCCGCTGGCCGCCCGCCTCTGCACTCCCTTGTCCATGCTCTCGGCCCCCCACAGCCATGATAGCACGGGAGCAGTGGAGGCGTTGGAGGAGGTGGCAGCGATGGGGGATGCAGGGCTGTGCGACAGAGGTGGGCACGGCATGGGGAGAGAGAGAGGGCGTGGCGTGGGGGAAGAGGGCGTAGGGGTAGGGGCGTGGGGGGCGGGGCGTGAGGGGGTTGCGTGGGGAGAGGGTTGTGAGCGGCGGGGCATGGGGGAAATGCGTGGGGGGAGGGGCGTGGGGAGAGCCGCTGGGGTGGGGTGGGAGAGCTGGGTGCGTAGGTGAAGGGTGGGATGAGATGGAAGGTAGGGCGGGCATGTATGGGCTGTGGCGTGTACACGGTCCATTCCTGTGCGTGGTGTGCATGCAGGACACACTGGTGCAAGTGGCCAAGGCCGCAAGGGCAAGCAACCCAGTGGTATAGCCGTGGCCACAGGGAAGATTAAGCCGCTAACGTCAGGCAATGTGCCATGAACAACTCACCTTGCCTGGCGCCAGCTGCATCTGAAGTTCTGAACCTCCTGTATGGCCACGGCTATGGCCGCAGGATCGTTTTCTTCTGCAGCCTTGGCCACTTGTGCTAGTAGTATGTCCTGCACAGCACGGTTATGAATGACCCAGGAGCAGTAATCTCATTCTACGCCTGCTATTTGTGAGGCTTGGATGATATGTCGTGATTTCAACTTGCTCTTTTAATTATGATCAGCGAATCATTGCTTGCCATGTGGCAGTTGGGGCGTTGGAGGAAGTGGTGCGGATCCACCTCAGCGGCCACGCAGTGAGTGTGCTTGTAACGAAGCCCGATTCGTTTCATACAAGTGATTGTAGCTTGTGACGAGGTTGTGCAGTGAGTGGTGCAACGTAGTGTGTGGTGGTGTGCTGTGTGAATCGTCCTGCCTGCACATGTATTAGAAAAGAGGTGGTGGTGGTGCTGTTCCTTCGTTTCCTTTATGCAAAATCATCAGCTCCTTTCGTCTTGTCTCGTTTCTCAATTCTTATAGGTCAAGTTAGTTAGAACTGTGGTGAGAACCTGCTTCATTTCAACTTATTTTTTAAATGCACCTCCCTTTCCCTCGTTCTTTCTGCCTCTCTCCCCTCTCTCCCTTCTCTCACGTCTCCCCTCTCCCCCGTCTCACCAGGACGCACATGCCATGGAGTCTGCTGGGAGGGCCGCTGCATTGCTGCAACCACCAACACCCGCCCCATCAGCATCACCACCATCCCCATCATCACCATCATCATCATCCTCACCAGCACCATCATCAGCGTCAGCAGCACCACCAGGGCTGGCATTCCTGCGTTTCCGAGTGCTCTGCTCCGTGGGGCTCGTGGAGCAGCTGTGCGGCCATATTGCCACTGGTAATGCTCTAGCTGTGCTGCTGGTAACCGTGTTACTGTTCCCACTGCTTGTGACCGTGCAGCAGTGGTGCTGGTAATGTAGTGCTCTGCTCCGTGAGGCTGGTGGAGCAGCTGTGTGGCCACATTGCCACTGGTAACTGTGTCATGGACCTGCTGGTAACCGTTGCTAGGAAAGGTGGTTTTTTCAATTTAAATAATCCCCTATCTCTTGTGTAATTTGTTGCACTTGTGGTCACCTTTTTCTTCTGTGTCCCCTCCGTTCTCTGCCACCCATACTCCTGCCGCCCAGCTCGGGAGCACTTTCAGGAAGCAGACGAGCTCGAGCCGCCCGACTGCAACTCGGTGCCAACCACAGGGCTCGCCCGCCTGTCAATGGCGCTACACCTGCACTCTGTCGGCCAATGGGAGCAAGCCACGTCATACTACTCGCAGCTTATCCAATGTTCCTCGCCACCTTCTCCTCCTTCCTCCTCACCCCCCTCTTCCTCCTCCTCTCCCTCCTCTCCTTCCATCGCATCCCCATCACCCACCGCGTCGTCCCTCTCGCCCTCTCTGCGTGCGGGGGCAGCGGTGCGCGTGGGGGCGCTATCAGGCCGGGGGCAGCTGCTGCTGCAGCAAGGGTAGGCGCTCTTGGTCTCAGATTTGGGTGTAGCAGGAAGTGGGGTTCTGCAAGGGTTGGCGGATGGGTGCGTGGTGGGGTGGGGTGGGGTGGGGTGGGTGGGTGGGTTGGGTGGGACTATTGATTCTTATGGGGTGCTCACACAAGCGGGACAAGGTGAGTCCGTGCAACACAGCGGTGTCCGGTGCTGCTGATTGAAGCTTCGCCCAGCTCCCCTTTACACTTCTCATTGCTGTTTAAGTCCCTTTACACTTCTCATTGCTGTTTAAGTCCCTTTACACTTCTCATTGCTGTTGAAGTCCCTTTAGACTTGGCTCTCCCGGCCAAATTTCTGGTCGACTTAAACAGCCCTACCACACCTCCTTTTCCCTTCCTATTGCACTCGGCTTCGCTCCCTTGCGTTCTGCTCACTGCCCTCTCTGCCTGCCTTCTTCCCAGCTCCAGTTACTTTCCTGAGTGTCTGCTGTTCTCTTCTGCTCATATTTTTGGTCTGAGCAGCGATTTCAAGGCAGCAGAGGAGCAATTCACAACAGCTCTCAAAGAGGCAGAGGCCATGGATGGTAATTCCTCCCTGCCTCACCACTCCACTTTAACCCTCCCTTACTGCCCTTCCACTCGTCCCTTTCTCTTACCCTCTTAAAGAGGCAGAGGCCTTGGATGGTAACTCCTCCCTGCCTCACCACCCTGCATTGATTTGGTTGTCTCTTATTGCCCTTTCACACATTTCCCGTACCCCCTCCCCCCTATCCCATCTTCCCCTCCCCCATTCCACCTCTTCTCCCTCCTGCTAGTCAATCATACCGCCATCTCAACCACACCACCATTTCCCCTCCATGCGTCTGTCGCTTTTACTCACCCTGTGGTGCTCGCCGTATAGTCTCACCGTATCACACCGTATTACCATTACCACTACCATTACTATTACCGTTATCATTACTAATACCACTGCCGTTACCATTACCATGACCATTATCATAACCATTATTAGTACCATTACCACTACCATTACCATTACCAGTCCCATTATCATTACCATTACCATTACCACTATCATTACCATTACCATTACTATTATCATCACTAGTACTATTACCAATACCTTTCCAGTACCATTACCATTACCATTACCATTATCATTACCATTACGATTATCATTACCTTTACCATTACCTTTACCATTACCACTACCAGTACCATTACCATTACCATTACCATCACTAGTACCATTAGCACTACCATTACCATTACCATTACCATAAAGATTACCATTACCATTATCACTATCATTACCATTACCATTCAGCTGTCACATATTGCCCTTTCACAAATTTCTCTCCCGTACCCCTTCCCCCCTGTCCCATCTTCCCCTCCCCCATTCCACCTCTTCTCCCTCCTGCTAGTCAATCATACCGTCATCTCAACCACACCACCATTTCCCCTCCATGCGCCTATCGCTCATACTCACCCAGTGGCGGAAGCCGAGTAGTCTCGCATCTGCTAACGCACACACACATACACCATCACCGCCATTTGTATCACACCGTGCCATTACCATGGCAGATAACTCAGATTTCAACCCAATGATGGGAGCCGTGTTGTCTCTGCTGGCTCACACACCTGCGACCATCACCACCATTTCAGTCACACCACCACCTGACCTCCTTTCCGCGCCCTTACCCCTCCAACACCGTGCCCCCACCACGCCAGATAGCTCAGATTTCAACCCAATGATGGGAGCCGTGCTTTCCCTGCTGGGCGACACATACGCTCAAAGAGGCAGGCTGCAGCACACGGGGGAGGGAATGATTGCTGAGGTATGTACTGGTAGCACCGGACGGTTCGCATCATGTGCCGTGGGTGTGCATAGGGTAAATTGCATGCTAATTGCTGCACCTGTGCTGGCTCTGCTGGGGGACTCGTATGCCCAGAGAGGCAGGCTGCAGCACACGGGGGAGGGCATGATTGCTGAGGTCAGTGGCAAGCTTGGGATGCGCTTGCATCAACTGTTTTATGCCCTAGCCATGGCATCATCTGTTCTATGCCCTAGCCATGGCATCATCTGTTCTATGCCCTAGCCATGGCATCATCTGTTCTATGCCCTAGCCATGGCATCATCTGTTCTATGCCCTAGCCATGGCATCATCTGTTCTATGCCCTAGCCATGGCATCATCTGTTCTATGCCCTAGCCATGGCATCATCTGTTCTATGCCCTAGCCATGGCATCATCTGTTCTATGCCCTAGCCATGGTTGCTGGTTTATCCACCCATCCCGTATAGAGTTTCAGCCTGAGAAGGTGGAAGATGCAAGCCGTCCCTATTTCTACTTGTTCCACCTTGCTCCACCTTCTTTCACCTTGCTCCACCTTCTTTCACCTTGCTCCACCTTCTTTCACCTTGCTCCACCTTCTTTCACCTTGCTCCACCTTCTTTCACCTGTGCCCACCAGGGTCTTTTTCGGCGAGCACTGGCTCTCCTGGGGGCGGCACAGTGGGACAGTCTGGATCACAGGCTGTCGCTGCTCGCAGGGGCAGCAAGCGGCTCGACTGCAGCGGAAGATGCAGACGAAGGTAGGAGTTGTGTGCTGTTCACTGTGTGCCGTGCACTGCGTGCTGTTGGCGCTGGCACTCCTGGGGGCGGCACAGTGGGAGGGACACTCGGGATCACAGGCTGTCACTGCTCGCAGGGGCAGCAGGGGGCTCGGTTGCAGATCAAGACACAGATGAAGGTGTGACCATTTTTGTTTCACTTTTGAGAGTTCACAAAAGTGACATGAGCGTCGTGTGTGCATATGCGCTCTGTGCTCTGTGCTCTGCGCTCTGTGCTCTGTGCTCTGCGCTCTGTGCTCTGCGCTCTGTGCTCTGCGCTCTGCGCTCTGCGCTCTGCGCTCTGTGTTGTGTGCCGTGTGCCATGTGTGTCGGCCACATGAAGTTGAACGCATCATCTGAAAAACGACATGTGGTTTTGTGGCTCGTCTCTCTGGCATGTGCATGGGTGCATGCGAGTGCAGAGCAATTGAAGGATCGGAAGAACCGAGTGCTGCAGCTGGACCTCATCGCATTCACCCTCGGTGAGTATGCCCCCCCTTTCCTCTTCCCATTGCACCAAGGTGAGGATCAGAAGAACCGAGTGCTACAGCTGGATTTCGTCACATTGACCCTTGGTGAGTGTGTGCTCCATCCCATGTTGTAGCGATGGCTGGAAGCATTGAATGCGCGCACGGTGCACCAAGGTAAGGACTGGAAGAACCAAGTGCTACAGCTGGACCTCATCGCATTCACCCTCGGTGTGTAATATCCCCCCTTTCGCTTCCCCTTCCCTTTTCTTTTTCCCACCCTCCTCTCCTCACCTCTCTTAACCCCCCCCCCCCGCCCCCACCCATTCTCACGTGCTCCAACCCCCCCCTCCCCCAATCTGTGCTGCTCATTACTGTATCATGTATGTGCGATTATAGTTTCTCGTTATTCCGTTTGTTTCCAAGTCACGCACTGTAAGTTTTCTCTCTACTGCCTGCCCTCCATGCTCGCAGCACTGCAAGCCTTCCCCATACGTGCCAGTGAGGCGTGAGCATGAGTGCAGTGAATGGTTCTCAATTTCTTTCTGCCCTCTATGCTGCCCTCTGTTCTGCCCTTTATTCTGCCCTCTGTTCTGCCCTTTATGCTGCCCTCTGTTCTGCCTTCTGTGCCCCCCCCCCATTCGACCAGAGCTCTACGCAGCAGCACTTCAAGCCTTCCCCATGTGCACCAGTGAGGCGCAAAGCATGAGTGCCGCCGCCCACCACCTCTGTATCTCACCATGCTACCCTCTATGCTACTAAGTGGGAATATACGCTCAAACCTGTTTGCGTTTAGCGTATACACGCTAGCGTGTATACGCAAAACGCTAAACGCTATCGAATACGCTATACGCTCACCAAATTTTTTTTGGGGCAGCCCGGCCAGAAAATTTCAACCTATACGGTTCGCTTCGGAATTGCACGACGAAGACATTGGCGGGGTCAGATGGCACGTCCGCGCTGTGTGCTAGCGTGGACGTGGGTTGAAAGTTCGTGTCGCAAATGGAAAGTCACGTTCGTCGAGTCGCGCCTGCACGTTCCCTCACATTTTGGTGTTCACTATCAGTACCGCATTCAAACCCTTCGCAACCAACACCTCTCCAATTTTTGTTGGCCATCTTCCCACTCCCACAATCAACTCGCCATAAAACAAGCACACCCCCAACATCCAACTCATTAGGTCTTCTCTCGCTACCAGCAGAGCACTAGGCATTCCCTAGCGCATGGTGCCTATGTCGACGACTACTACCTCTCCTCTAACGCCACCGTCAGTTAACACCGTTGGCAGTTCGCAAACTCTTCTAACCGAGGCACGGGAGTATCTCCCCGACATTGACCATGCCGTCTTCAAGCACTTCCGCATCATCAAGAGGGTCGAGGGAAAAGCTCAGCAGTACGAGTGCAAGTTATGCAGCAACGTCTACACTGGTGCTGCCATCCGATGCGCGCAACACTTCACGTCGTGGAAGGGGATGAAACGCCGTGAAGTGGTGCTTTGCAAGGATGCGCCGCAAGATGTGCGCTTGGCCATGCGCGCGAAATACGAGGCAAAGGTTGCTGCGGCCGAAGAGAAGAGGCGGGCAGCAGCTGAAGCGGTTGCCGCGGTCAAGGCTAATGGTGTGAAGCGGGCGCGCATCACCGATTACCTTGATGGGGATGCGGCTGCAAGAAAGAGAGAAGCGGACGAGGCACTTGCGCTTGCTTGGGCCGCCCTCCATATCCCCGAGCGCCACATTGACCATCCTCTGATGGTCAATGCATTGAACCTCGTCAAGCGCGCCGGCGTCGACTACGTCCCTCCCAAGAGGAAATACATCGGCGGTGCTGGCCTTCTCTCGTGTCGCAACGGAATCGAGCAGGGTTTGGTGGGCATTAAGGCGAGCTGGAAGAGGACGGGCGTGACGGTTTCGTCCGACATGATGACGGACCGCAACGGCAGGCCGCAGGCCAACGTGCTTCTCGTAAACGATTCCGGCGCCGTCTTCACCGACTGTATTGACTGCAACATGGAGAGGAAAACCGGAGGTTATGTGGCGGGAATTCTTAGGCCCGTGGTGGAGGAAGTGGGTCCAGAAAACGTTGTTGCGTTCTGCATGGGCGGGGGGTCGAACTGTGCGGTGGCGGTGAAGCAGCTCTTACAGGAGTGGCCGCACATTCAGGATGTGCCGTGCGCCACTCACGTATTGGATCTTCTCATGGAAGATGTCGGGAAGATGGGATGGGCTAAGCCGGTGGTCGACAAGGGAGGGGAGATATCTAGCTTCGTCCGCAACCACCACTGGACCCGAGGGTACCTGCGGAAGCCGGAATCGGTGGAGGGGAAGGTTCTGCAGGCGCTGAAGCCGGCTGGAACCCGATTCGGGACCAACTACATAGCCATATCCCGGCTATGTGCGATGCGCGGCAGCCTTACCAACATGGTGACGAGCGAGGGTTGGAAGGAGTGGGCGGTAGGGGACCGGAAGAAATCGTGTGACGGGTTCAGTGCGCTGATCCATGATGCCGCCTGGTGGAAGACGGCCGAGTTCTTCGTCGCACTGCTGAAGCTGCCCTTTAAGGTGATGAGGCAGACGGACGGGCATGCCGTGGGGATGATGGGGAGGCTGTACGATTTGATGCTGCAGTTGACTGAGGACGTGGGGGGCTTGCTCGATGCGGACGAGGAGCAGCTGAGCGACGGGGACAAGGACAAGATCCGCCGCATCCTCAGAGACCGCTGGGACGGCAGCCTGGCATGCGCCATGCATGTCGCTGGCCGCATCCTCAACCCCGCGAATCAGGAGGAAGATATTTTCGGCACTGATCCCGAGTGCACGAAAGTCTTCAAGGCGTTCATCAGCCAGCAGGCCGAGTTCCTTGCGAGCCGCGAGGATGGGGGGGATGACGCGTGCGACATCTTGCTTGAGCTGGGGGACGGGCTGAGGGCGTTCCTTAACATGAAGGGTTCTTTTGGGATGCCGGAAGCCGTGGCACAGAGGAAGCTGGTGAAAGAGGGAAAGTATAGCATGGTGAAGTGGTGGCAGTGGAATGGGACTGATGCCCCTCGAGTGGCGGGGCTCGCGGTACGGGTGCTGTCTCAGGCCGTGTCAGCCTCACCTTGTGAGCGTGGATGGTCCTCGTGGGATGCCGTCCACACCGCACGTCGCAACAGGCTCGGATCCGCCAAGTGCAGGGACTTGGTCTATGTTGCGCACAACTGGAATGTTGTGCGCAACTGGCACACGCGCGTTGATGTCTTGCCACATGTGGTGCCCGGGATTGGAGCGGAGCCTCCAATCCCGGCGGGATACAATGGGCTGGAAGACGAGACGAAGGGAGAGGATGAGGAGGAAGGCGAAGACGACATCCTCGAAGACGAGTACGCTAACTAGAGGGGGCAAATGTGGCTTGCTGTGGGCGGCTAGTCCTAAGGAGTAGTAGTACGTAGCTTGTCTTAGAGAGAAGTGATGGTCGTGATGGAGTAGTGATGATAGTTTTGATGGTAAGTGATGATGGTAAGTGATGATAGTAGTGATGATAGTGATGATAGTAGTGATGACAGTAGTTATGTGTAGGCCGTGGTATATGTGTAATGTGGAAAAAAAAAATCTCTGAAACTTCAGGCCCCATACCCCACCCCCATACCCCCCCCCCCCCCCCCCCCCGGGCCTTTTTTTGACCCTGCCCGGGAAGTTTTTTTTTCTGCCCGAAAAAGCGTATTTCTAAACCCGTCCCTACAGCGTATAGCGTATATAAGAGTGCGTATATACGATAAGCGTATATACGCAATAAGCGTATATTCCCACTAAGCTATGCTACTGCTGTCCATGCCTCCCCCCATCCTACCAGAGCGCTACGCAGCGGCCCTTCAGGCCTTCCCCATGCGCGCCAGTGAGGCGCAAAGCATGAGTGCCGCCGCCCACCACCTGTGGCGGTCGCCCCTCTCCCTCGACTCAGCCGTCACCTCATCCCGAGTATCCGCTGCTGCTTTCGAGCCGATGATGAAATCGTCCGTTTGTGCTGCTGACAATCCCGGTGTTTCGTCTGAATCTAAATCGGTGAAAGATTTGGTTTGTGCAGCGCATTTCTCGTTGCCTGCTCCAGTGGTGGATGTAACAACAGGCAGGGTCTTGCTGTCATGATGCAGTAGGTAATGATTGCTGTGGGTTGGTGCAGCCCATCTGTTGTCTCCTGCAGCAGCAGTTGATGTTAACAACTGGCAGGATGCTGCTGTCGTGAGGTAATGATTGGTTTGTAAACAGGATGTGGGTGGCTCGTGTGCACATTTGTTACCCTATCTTTGCTCTAGGAACGAGGAGTGGTACCGGTACGGTAGTTGGGAGTCTAATCAAGGTCTGGTGGAATATGTTTCGAAAATGATGGTACAAGTGAATGACTGAATAATGAAATGGGTAAGCTGATGTAGCGTAGAATTGAAGAAAGAGGACCGTGTGAGGAATATCCTTCTGGAGATGACAAAAAGAAGAAAAGAAAAGAAAAGGTAGTATGGCATCGCTCATCCAAATTCTATAATGCTCGTCCCACGCACCTCTGGCCGATTTCCTTGCTGCCTTCAAACATTGCACTTCTCAACATGTTCATATTGAAAGGGATAGGCCTTCATGTATATAAATGTGTCATTCTCTCAGTTTGTAGATTTATTGTAGATGGGTGGTAACCATTGTGTCATTTACTCGGAGCTAAGTCATTCACCATTTCGTCTGCTCATTCTTAAAGCCAGGATCTCAAGTAAGAGAAATTGGGATCAATTGCAAAACAGTTGACGCTCAGTTACCCCGTTTCTGTATGCGAAGTAGACTGGTTGGCTAGGCAGTTTGGCGTGCGACACTCCCAAGCTTTTGCCCCAGCACCAAAAGCAAAACAATTTCAGAAACATGAGACTGTCGGCAAATTTGTGGCATTCTAGCTTCGGATCCGAACCAAACTCCATGCCTACAAGGTTCGGACACACACAAACGAGTTCAGTTTCCTTCGCACCCCTCGCTGCACCCCTTGCACCTCGTCGACCAATCGCAGCCAAGCTCCAACCATCAACTGCAAAACATTTGTGGTACTTGAGATCCTGGCTTTAATAAACGATGAATGTGTGCCTGCATTAAGTTCTTCTCTTTAGTGTCCAATTTCTTCTCAACGTAACCAAGTGGACCCTGTTCACCGGAAAAGTGTACAGTAGCTGAACCTAGTCGAATCATGCGTTGAATGTCAGTGGTGATTTACGAACCTCGGAATAGTCGCCGATCCAGCTGTACGAGTGACAACACACCAACAGAGGCGTGACATATTTGACAACTTGAGGCAACAAGTGTCTGCAGTGGCGGTGGATCGTCGGTCTACAGCTGGATTTCTCAATTGGAAAAAGCGGCGTGAGTTTGTCATTCACCGTCTGGACGAGTGGTTTGTCTCAGTTGGTTCATTTACACCGACCACTCAAATTGCTAGACCCAGCGATTTCTGCTTCAGTCACATGCGGCGTTCATTTGGACAGTTCCCTCATTTGAATGGCAGAAGAGCAAATTGCTGCGTGGCAGAGCAGGATATGTGTCCCACGCGTGCTTATCGCACCTAGCGCGCTTACGCTCCTTCACGCGTTCTTCAAGTTGCAGAATCGTGGGGAATCAAGATAGATTCCAGAATCACAAGCACCCCCTGCAGCAGCAAGCTCCCACCCTTACAAGTTCCTGTAAGCACTGCGCTTCCAACGGCAGTCACTGTGTCCAGAAACTTTGCAGGCTAACGCATTCATCTGAACATGATGACGACCATATTTGGGCTTTCTTGCCACGTGTCGTTCAAACAGTCCAACAACGGACGCTTGCGTGAGCCCAGAGTTCGGAGAGCAGATTGCCTCAGGCTGTCACGCGAGCGGCAGGGATTATCTAGGAGGTTCCGAACCTCGCGGTTAGGGCGGCGATTGCTTGAATATTACTCGCACGAGAAGTCCCCCCTTCCACCATCTGAGGGTGATTCTAGGTCAGAATTTGGCGGGAGACTTAGAGTGGTCGCTATAGAGTCCGATGGACTGCAGTGGTACGCGGAATGGTTGGGATGGTTCATTTATTACCGTGGTTGACTGATTATAAGGAAAGGCGTCGGGTGAACGAGGGATTGTGCCACATGATGGTGTACCACCGCAGTCACTGTGTCTCATAGTGGTGATTCCCTGTACCACTGAAGATGGTGATGGGGTTTAGTTTTAATAACAGAAGAAATACGGAGATTGCTGAAGGAAACCTATGATGGACGAGCAAAGGGCGATGGAGCAGGCTCGCCTGGCACAAGAGATGCTTGAGAGGCTTCAAGGCGACTCCCAGCAGCCGCAGCAGCTGGAATTGGCCGCGGATGCACAGCAGCGGCAAGAGCCGGAACAAGTCCAGCAGCAGGAACAGCTACAGCAGGATGAGGAACAGCAGTTGGAACAGCCGGAACAGCAGCAGCAGCGCCGGCAAGAGCAGCATAAAGAGGATCATGAGCAACAAGAAGATCAGCAGAATGGTGGGAGTGGCTACAAAAAAAGGCGTAGAAGACGCGGGCAGGTGAAGGTTCTTCCGAGCGAAGCAGAGGTGAAGGAAGCAGGAAAAGATTGGCACGATGTTTTCAGCCCAGCAGCAGCAGCAGGTGCAGCGACTTCCAGAGGGTTGCTGGCTCCTTTCGGAGGAGGTTTGCTAGGAGGATCTGATCAAGATCATGCTGCTGGTGCTGGCAGTAGCTCCCGGGGTTTTGAGCCGTTTTCTGCCCAGAGAGCACACTCACATGCACAATTTCACCCCCCAGTCTCAGATTTCATGTCTCGGATCCCATCAGGTTCTTTGCTTCCTTCTCGATCCGCTCAGAGTGTCTCTGCTCAGAGCGCGTCCGCGCAGAGTGCGTCCTTTAGGACAGCATCTGCATCATCTGGATCCAGTTTTCATGGTTCTAAAACCCCTGGCACGAACAATCCTTCTCTGGGAAACACCAATTCCCCGTCAAGAAGACACAGGAATGTAACCAACCGCTCACCCATGTCAGGCAGAGGTCAAAGTAGCGAAGCACGAGGTATAGATTCACCTAGCAGTAGAGGTCAAGAGAGGGCAAATCAGACTGGAGGAATCGACTCAGGGACCCCCCCTGAGAGAGGCTTTGTTCCGGCGATAGAACGGGGGGTGGAGTGCCGTTTCTGCAAGCGGGAGTTCCAGGATCCGCGAGCGCTGGGAGGCCACATGAATTTGCACAGGCGTGGTATGCTCATCTCCTTCCCCTTCCTTCTCGGGTTTGATCTGACTTGTGAGACTAAGCACAAGGTCACATGAACTTCTGGATCAAGTAGCAAGCTATTTTCTTCTCGGGGTTTGTGATGCATGATGAAGAACAGGATGCTCTGGATTAAGAAGCAACCGAAACCCTAAGGTTGCATTCTTTCTCATGTCCTGCATGCTTCCACGTGCGTGCAGAAATTGACTTTGAACGATTCATGGATAGCCAGCAGGAGCTGGAGCAGCGGTGGCAGCAACGAGCCCAGGCGGAGGACCAAGCTGTAGCAGAACGACAGAGGAAATCTCTTGCTGACCTGGCTGTAGCAGAACAACAGAGGCGATTTCTAGCCGACCCGGCTGTAGCAGAACGACAAAGCACGTCTGTAGCCGACCAGCAGATTCAGTTTGCAGCTGAGAGGCTTTTGGCACAGGCTGCACAAGATCACGAAACTTTTCTTAACCCTCATCGGCAGTATGGTGGGTTGCAAGGGCGGGGTTTGGGGTTACAAGAACAGATAGTGCGCTCAGATAGCTTGCAAAGACAGCAGCCGGACCAGTTGCGGTTACAGTCAAACCCTGGCGCCGATTTTGTCGTGCCTCGTTCGTCGGATGGCTCGTCGCACGGATTAGCTCTAGGTTCATCCGTGGGCTCGCTCGTACCAACTTCTCTTGAGAATCTAAGCATTCAACAGTTGGCGCTGTTGCTGCAGCTATCACAGCAACAGACAGATTCGGTCTTGTTGCAGCAGCAGCAACAGCAGCCGGAGCAGCAGCAGCAGCAGCAGCAGCCGGAGCAGCTGCAGCAGCAACAACAACAGCAACAGCGTCCGCAGCAGCAACATCAACACGAGCAGCTGCAGCAAGAGCAGCAGCAGCAGCAACGACAGCAACAGCAGCAGCAACCGCAACAGCAGCAGCAACAGCCGCGGCAACAGCAACAGCAACAGCAACAGCAACAGCCGCGGCAACAGCCGCGGCAACAGCAACAGCAACAGCCGCGGCAACAGCAAGAGCAACAGCAGCAGCAACAGCAGCAGCAACAGCAGCTGCTGCAGCAGCAACAGCCGCATCAGCCGCAACAGCAACAGCAGCAGCCGCAACAACAGCCGCTAGCGTCGTTGCCGTGGCACCATCCAGTACCTCCCTCACAGCAGCATCCCTCCTTCCAATCATACCCGTGGACCGTATCACAGCATCAACTGCCATTGCTGCCACAGATCCAGCCACCAATGCTGTCACCTCTTCAGTCTCCCACAATTCCACAGCTCCCAACCTTTTCTTTATTGCAGCACCAGCACCAGCAGCAGCAGCTACGCTCCCTTCTACGGCGACCTTCTCTGCCTGCCTCTGTTCGTCCTATCGCCACTCGGTCATCCCTCACTCGTTTCGCCTCGCTTCCGCCGCGTTTGCCACTCTCGCTCCCCCCTCTACCTCCCAACCACATGCTTCCGATTCTTGCTCCTAACCCTTCTGCGTTGATTCTCCCATCAGTACTTCCGCCGGAGGTTCTAGCGGCCGCAGAAATAGGAGCAGCAGCAGCGGAAGCTGGAGCAAGAGAAAGAGCAGTAGCAGTGGTAGAAGCAGCAGCAGAAGGAACAGGGGCAGCAGCAGAGGTAGGAAGGGCCGTAGCACCAGTGCAAGTGGCACTAGAAGGAGGAGGAGGAGGTGATGGTGGTGGTGACGGTGGAGGGACAACGTCAGGAGTGCGATCGGGAGGTGGAGAAAGGGGAGGAGGAAAGGGGCCAGGAACTGCAGCAAGGGGAGCAAGTGGAGGGGCAGCAGGAGGAGGAGGTGGTGTAGCATCTCAGGAAGAGTTAGAGGCATTGCGGCTAGAGACAGGTGCTGATGCTGCAGGTGATGTCGCAGCCAGAGAGCAGGAGCAGGAGCACAAGAAGAATTGTTACGTTCAGCGGCAGCTACAGCAGCATCAGCATTAAAGCCCAGCTTCAACATCGGATCAATTTCTGCAGCAGCAGCAGCACGAGCTGGTAGCGGCACTGCATTGCAACCGGTAGCCAGCATACCAAATCTTCCTGTCCAACCCACCGCTGCAGCCACAAACGAAGCAGCACCAGGGGAACAAACACCAGTAGATCAAGATGTGAGAGACCAAGCACTAAGAGACCAAGCACTAAGCCAAGGAATGCAGTCTCTCTCCGCCTGTGGAAGCAGACTCTCGCAGCGTAGTGCCTCTCAGAACGTAGCTGCTGGAGAGTCGATCCCGCACCCAGGAAAACGGGCAGGGCTCAGCAGGAGAACACACAGCAGCGCGCAGGAATACAGCAGGAGCTACAGCAGCGACAGCTACCGAAGCGGGGTTACCACAGCGGCGAGCGGCAGTGACGGGCAACCCAGCAAGGCCAGCACGTGCAGCAGCAGAATGAGCCGAGGGCAGAGCGTTCCTGCTAGTGTCTCCTCCTCTGTAGCTGCCCGCCCCACCCCGTTTCTGCCTGTGACGAGGCCTGTGGCAAGGCCTGTTGGTGGTGTGGGTGTGGGAGAGGTGGTGTCGTCTTCAGGTGTTGCGGCAGGGGTGGGATGTGGTGTGGGGCTAGCTGGGTTGGTACCGGTGGCAGGTGAAGGACGTGGTTTGGCATTGCAAGGTGCGGGCTTGCATGCTTCTGCGTCAGTTTCCCTTCCAGTAGCACAGACAGCAGCAGAGGCAGCAGCACCAGAAGCTGCTGCTGCGGCAGCATTAGAAGCATCGGTTGCATCTGCATCACCCCAAACTCCTCTCTGGCCGTTTCAAGCCGGTCCCTTGCAGGAAACTGCACGTCCTGCTGCAATGGCTGCAAGGATTTCCCCATCAGTGATTTCTCACCTTGATCCGTCAGCTCTGGCAACACTGCTTGCCGACCCAGCACTAGCAGGCTTGCTGCAAATTCCATCACCTGGCTACGATCAATTGTCCAATCAATTATCCAGCCACCTTTGGCCGACGGAACCCTTATTGCCCAATGTTGTGCCTCAGCTACCAACCCCCTCCCACGCATCCGGAAACCTCCGTGAAGGGGTAAGAAATTCAGAAGCTTTGGTGACAGGATTGATCTCAGCTGATCTGCTAGACAGAGGGGATGGAGTTGGAGTGGTTAATGATAATGCAGACTCCCACGTTATGGCGTCGATACAGTTAGCACCCTTGGTTTCTCGTGAAGCCGACAGTGGTGTTGAGGGTCTGACCACGGGTGCTGAGGGGTTAGATAGCATCGAGGCTAGAATTAGGTGGTTAGAACAACAGCTTAGAGAAGGTGGAGGAGATTACCATTCAGAGAATCATGGACATAGCCCTGGAAACAGATAGATTGAAATATAACACATTATTCTCATCCAAGAACAGAGCAGCGTGCAAGCCATACATTTCATAGATAGAAACTCTCGTGTGATTGTACCAGAACGAATGGGTGTTTGTAATTTATATCAGATCGGCTGGGATGATACGCTTCAGATTTATTGAACAAATTCCCAACAAATCTGCTCCACCATCGCTGAAAGCCCACCATACTCCGAAACCAAAGCTCGCCGAACCGCCATATACCTGGACGAGTCCCGTGCTCCAATATTGTATTCGATTTGCAATCACCGTGAGAGCTTTCTCGTAATAACTATTTGATCCCCGTTTGGGGGAATGTGGCAAAGATTCTTCTAGGTTCATAACTAGGAGTTCCCAAGAGTCATGCAGAGTCAGAAGGATCTGCCGTCGTCGCCGCACGATGGAAGGAAGCTACATGTGTTTTTTTGCCATCCGGATTTGGGAATAGGTGAGTCGCGTGTGGTCGACCGCTGGACACGTGGAGTAGTTACGAAAAACAACCATCGTAGTAGGAACCACTGAAGACGATGTTTCGAGTGCATACTTCTGACTGTATTCTCGAAGACGATCCGTGTTCCGCAGCCGTTGCCGACGTCAATGCCGAAGCAAGGGCTAGTTAATATCCCAACGTGTTCCGCAGCCGTTGCCGAACGGAAGTGACGGATCAATTGGTAGTAACATCCCAGAGTGTCGCTACAACGTAACAAGACTCGTTTTCAATCTCCTGCGCTCCCTCGTTCTGTGAGCCATTAAGCATTGTCTTTCATGTCATTCTAGCTCGTTCCGTCTGCCTTCCTTCCCTTGGCCGTGGTTTTAACTTCTTACGGTTTCTCCATTAGCCCTGATTTCATCCGTCCCATCCATGCATACATGCATCCATGCACGATGCATCATGCATCATCATGCATCCATGCACGATGCATCATGCATGATCATGCATCCATGCACGATGCATCATCATGCATCCATGCACGATGCATCATGCATGATCATGCATCCATGCACGATGCATCATGCATCATCATGCATCCATGCACGATGCATCATGCATGATCATGCATCCATGCACGATGCATCATGCATCATCATGCATCCATGCACGATGCATCATGCATGATCATGCATCCATGCACGATGCATCATGCATCATCATGCATCCATGCACGATGCATCATGCATGATCATGCATCCATGCACGATGCATCATGCATCATCATGCATCCATGCACGATGCATCATGCATGATCATGCATCCATTCCATCCATGCTCTACAATCGACGCATCCAACCCATCCACGCCTTCATCCCTTCCATGTATGGATGCATCCATCCACGCAGGAGGAGCGGAGCGGCTGATAGTGGATGCGGCAGCGGAGCTGGCGTCTAGAGGCCACAGCGTGCGGGTCTTCACAGCCCATCACGACCCTCTCAGATGCTTCCCCGAGACCATTGATGGTACGGTGTGCTGTCCTAACGCCCATCATAACCCATTGCTGGCGTCAAGAGGCCACAGCGTGCGGCTCTTCACAGCCCATCACGACCCTCTCAGATGCTTCCCCGAGACCATTGATGGTACGGTGTGCTGTCCTAACGCCCATCATGACCCATTGCTGGCGTCAAGAGGCCACAGCGTGCGGGTCTTCACAGCCCATCACGACCCTCTCAGATGCTTCCCCGAGACCACTGATGGTACGGTGTGCTGTCGTAACGCCCATCATGACCCATTGCTGGCGTCTAAAGGCCACAGCGTGCGGGTCTTCACAGCCCATCACGACCCTCTCAGATGCTTCCCCGAGACCATTGATGGTACGGTGTGCTGTCCTAACGCCCATCATGACCCATTGCTGGCGTCAAGAGGCCACAGCGTGCGGGTCTTCACAGCCCATCACGACCCTCTCAGATGCTTCCCCGAGACCATTGATGGTACGGTGTGCTGTCCTAACGCCCATCATAACCCATTGCTGGCGTCAAGAGGCCACAGCGTGCGGGTCTTCACAGCCCATCACGACCCTCTCAGATGCTTCCCCGAGACCATTGATGGTACGGTGTGCTGTCCTAACGCCCATCATGACCCATTGCTGGCGTCAAGAGGCCACAGCGTGCGGGTCTTCACAGCCCATCACGACCCTCTCAGATGCTTCCCCGAGACCACTGATGGTACGGTGTGCTGTCGTAACGCCCATCATGACCCATTGCTGGCGTCAAGAGGCCACAGCGTGCGGGTCTTCACAGCCCATCACGACCCTCTCAGATGCTTCCCCGAGACCATTGATGGTACGGTGTGCTGTCGTAACGCCCATCATGACCCATTGCTGGCGTCAAGAGGCCACAGCGTGCGGGTCTTCACAGCCCATCACGACCCTCTCAGATGCTTCCCCGAGACCATTGATGGTACGGTGTGCTGTCGTAACGCCCATCATGACCCATTGCTGGCGTCAAGAGGCCACAGCGTGCGGGTCTTCACAGTCCATCATGACCCGAACAGATGCTTCCCGGAGACCATTGATGGTACGATATGCTGTTGAATCTCTTGAATCATAGATTTGAACTTGTGTGGGATTATCACGTTCCCTTTCACAGCTGCTCATGACCCCAACAGATGGTTCCCAGGGACCATCGCCTTACTCTCTGTCTGATTGCTCTCAGCTATTGCATTCCTTGTTCCTCAGTAGAGGCAGTTGTAACCAATTGCGCAAAGACATTCTGAGCATAGCAACAGGGCATCCCATCAAGCCGTTGTGACTCAAATTTGCTCACCCTTTTGGCTTCTCGAATCGGCTACTAACGCAACACAATTCCCACCGCCTACAATCCCTCTTTAACAGGCACCTTCCCTGTGCACGTGCATGGAAGTTTCCTCCCCCGCCACATCGCCGGCCGATTTCACGCAGTCTGCGCCTACCTCAGGTGCCTCTGGGCGGCTCTCTGCATCGTCATCTCTGTGTGGCTCCGGTGGATCCCAGCCGTTGATGCGATCATCACAGATCAAGTCTCAGCCGTCCATCCCATTCTCAGACTGCTGCCTGCCAAGGTGGGTTCCCTTCCAATCCCTTTGAACTTACTCTTACGCTTTCCTTTACCATTTGGTTTTTGAGAATTCTCAAAAACCAGCTCCTTTACCATTCTCTTTACCCTTCCCCTCCACCCTCCCCTTTCCCGTTCCCCTCCCCTTCCCCTTCACAATCCTACCTGCACTGTGCTCGTTCCATTTCATGCTTGCCGGCCCAGCCATGCCTGTCCAATGTTCTTCTTCACCACTTATTACACGCCTCCGTGCGACATTTTTCACTGGCGTTTAAATTAAAATATTCCAAAACTCACTTCCTCTGCGCTTCTTCCATCTCCCTGTGTAACAGACCTTTCTTACTGTTACCCTCTTCTAAAAACAAAACGCATTGTCATGCGTTCCCACTATCCTGTGCATCCCCCATGCCTATCCCTCCATAACAGATCCTATTCTACTGTCACTTCCTGGACCTGCAGCAGGCCCAGCGAGGTTATTCTTGTGTTACTTGTGGGAGCTCTCAAAATTAACACAAACGTCCAACACCCCTACCCTACCCCCATTTACAGATCCTCTTCTACTGTCACTTCCCTGACCTGCTGCTGGCCCAGCGAGGCTCTGCTTGTGTTACTTGGAAGAATACTCAATAGCAACACAAGCGTACCCCACCCGTTCCCCCCATAACAGATCCTCTTCTACTGTCACTTCCCGGACCTGTTGCTGGCTCAGCGAGGCTCGTGGCTGCGCTCGCTGTACCGAGCGCCCGTTGACTGGGTGGAGCAGGTCACCACTGGTGCGTGCTGTTGGCATGTGTTGATCACTCAATGGTGTGTGCTCATGCCGTCAGGCAATAATGTTGATCCCTCACTGTGTGCTCGCTGTACCGAGCGCCCATTGTCTGGGTGGAGCAGGTCACCACTGGTGCGTGCTGTTGGTTGGCATGAGTTTATCAATGGTGTGGGCTCTTTCTTACCCTCCGGCAATAGTGTTTACCACTCACTCGAATGTGCTCAACCCCACTCTGCAGGCATGGGGGACACCATAGTGGTCAACAGTCACTTCACTGCCGCCACATTGAAGTCGCTTTTGTGAATTCTCAAAGTCTCTCCTCTCTTCTCTCTCCTCTCTTCTCTCTCCTCTCTCCTCTCTCCTCTCTCCTCTCTTCTCTCTCCTCTCTCCTCTCTTCTCTCTTCTCTCTTCTCTCTTCTCTCTTCTCTCTTCTCTCCATCGCCTCTGTATCCCTGCAGGCATGGCGGACACCATAGTGGTGAACAGTCACTTCACTGCAGCCACATTCGCCTCCACCTTCCCCTCGCTAGCATCACATGGCATCCGCCCCGCTGTTCTCTACCCGGCTGTAGCATTCGATTCCCCACCGCCTGCCTCGTCTGCCAACACTGCCACCACTGCCAACGCTGCTATCGATGCTACTGCTGCTAGCAGGGGTGGTTCTGGCACCCTCAGTCCTGCTGTGGGCGAAGCAGAGAAGCTTGGCCTAGATCTCAACAGGTGATTTTTGGAGGGCAATTGAGACGGATTGAGCTGAGTGGGCTGGATGGGATGGCGTGCACATAATCTCGCATGCTAAACTTGCTTCCGTTAGAAAGCTTTTTGTTCTTGGACCTCTCAAAGCATCACTGCCATTCCCTGCCCTTCTTGTTCCCCTTTTTTCCTTCAATCATCAACCCTAATCTCCCCCCACTACACTCCCCTCCACCATGCTCAACCCCCTCCTCTCCCCCCTCCCTCCCTTAGCCCCTTCTTACTCTCCATCAACCGCTACAAGCGCAAGAAGGAATTTCCTGCGCGCAGGCCCTGACCAGGATTCACACGTCTCCCCCTTCTCCCCCCTCTCCCCTTCCCTCCCCCAGCCCCTTCTTCCTCTCCATCAACCGCTACGAGCGCAAGAAGGAGATCGCCACTGCGGTCTCTGCTCTGGGTCTGCTCACCCGCTCGTCAGGGCACACAGGCACTCCCGGCAGCCAAGGTGCTACTGTTGCCGCTTTGGCAAAGGGGCAGCGGCCTCGGCTTGTTGTGGCAGGTGAGCTGTTCATGGTGCTGAGGCAAACGGGGAGGACTCTATTGATGAGCACCATGAAGCTACCTGGATGCGTGAAGCTACCTCTCACAATGACATGTCACAACTGCTCCATTGTCTTAACTTAACCAGATGTCATCACCAACCCTTGAGCTTTCCTCCATCCGTCCCCTCCTCCTCTCTGCCATTCACCGATTTCTCACATCGTCCCTCCTCGTCCATCTCTCTGTGAATCAGGTGGGTGTGACGCTCGCGTGCGCGAGAACGTGGAGTATCTCCAAGAGCTAAAGCAACTAGCTGCTATGGAGCCGATGGCTTCCAATGTCTTTTTCCTCAATCCCCTTCTCCTTACCAATTATTTTCTATCTGTATCAGGTGGGTGTGATGCTCGTGTACGGGAGAATGTGGAGTATCTCCAGGAGCTAAAGCAACTAGCTGTTATGGAAGGGGTGGCATCCGACATCCTTTTCCTCATCTCCATTAGCGACTCCCTCAAGGCTCAGCTGCTGTCCCACTGCACTGCTGTAGTCTACACTCCTCCAGTGAGTGCTACCCATACGACCTTCTTATTACATGATTTCTTTCACATCCTTTTTCTTGGCTTCTTGTTTGTTGGTCTGGTTTCGTTTGCCATGAATCGATTATGCCATACTGTCGTGCGCGATTGACTTAACCCTACTTCCATTTCGCAGAACGAGCGTTTTGGCATAGTGCCATTAGAAGCAATGGCAGCAAGCAAGCCAGTGGTGGCATGCAACAGTGGAGGACCCACAGAGAGCATACTGGACGGCGCAACAGGCTTCCTATGCGGTCCAAACCCAACAGCCTTTGCTGTGCTGTATTGACCCCCCAATCCCGCCCCTGCTTCCCCTTCCACACGCTCCCCCTCTTCCCCTCAGAACGAGCATTTCGGCATAGTGCCATTGGAAGCAATGGCAGCAAGCAAGCCAGTCGTGGCATGCAACAGTGGAGGCCCCACAGAGAGCATACTCGATGGTGCTACAGGCTTCCTCTGCGCTCCAAACCCCTCATCTTTTGCTGCTGCACTGGCTACACTCTGGGCCGATCCTTCTCGGGCAGCTTCCATGGGTCAGGTTGCCCGAGTGCATGTTGAGGAACAGCTTTCAAGAAACGTTTTTGGTGACCGGTTGCAAGAGATTCTTTGGAACATGTGCTTATAAGGGGCGTGTTCCTACGGCCCCTTATCAGGCAACCTCTTATCAGACTCACTCTGCATCAGACTGAAATTCACGCCAACTCCAAGACCCTTTCACATTCTATAAGGCAAGTCTGATAAGGAGTTGCCTGATAGGGGGGCCGTAGGATACGAACACGCCCTACAGTAACTTGTTACAGAAATGGCCTAATGGCATGGATGGCAAAAAAGATGACTTTGGAAACTTCTATCAAGCACAACGCGGCTGATATGTTTAAGGTCCAATCATTCCCCCATGTTGTGCATTTCACAACCTCAAAAGACCCATAACCATAAGACGGGAAAAAACCTGCCTTAATTTCCACCCTCCCACCCGTGCACGGCCTGGAACATCCCCTGGGCCAACTCATCCCTCTCGGCCACGGCAGCAGGGGACTCGTCATCGGCTCGCCTGGCGGGCACGTAGTCATCAAACGCCTCATACGCCCAGTCAGGGTCAAACGCCTCTCCCTTCTGCTCCAGAAAGTTGTGCAGCGCACAGCATGCCCCCACCAACCGCGGCAGCTCATGCAGCTTCCCCTCAGCCCGCCTCAGCAGGATCCGCCACCGTCCCTTCAGCCGGCCAATCGCGTCCTTCCCCACCGCAGTGCCCTTCTCTATGCACTCATTGAACGTGGTCTGATACCACGTGGCGCTCTCTGATTGGGCGTACGGAACCAGCAGCCAATCCAGAAGCGGGTACGACCGCAACCCGATGACCTTTGCCCCCTGAAGCTCTCCAGCTTGTCCTTTCTGGTGGAGGGTCGACTGCTGCAAAACCTGCTCGTCAGAAAGCGCGCCGGGCAGCCCGATGCAAAGATCGATAAACTGCCCGTTGGCATCAACGACTGCTTGCGTGGAAAGGGAATAAGATTCCCGGGCGAGACGTTCGGTAAGCTGCCTGTTGTGGTATTTTACCATGTTGGAGCGCGGCGTGTTGATACACAGGTGTGTTGTGTAGAGAGTCCCAATCAGCTGCCCGTTCCCCAGCTGCTGTACCACAGAAGAAGCGCCATCCACCCCGCACAGCTTCAGGAACTTGGAAGAAATTTCAGCTGCCCGGGTGCTGCCCGGCTCAGGCCATACGACCACCTTGGGCAGAATAACATCGTTCAGCACCTTGAGAATATCATTCCCCACGAAATGCACCGTGGTCCGGCTGAGATTAAACCTCCTGGAAACCAGATGGAGAGGCTCGGCCGTGGCAAGCCTCCAGATCGCCGCTCCGATCCTGATGTCCAAGAGGTTCGGGTTTTTTCTCGGCTTTTTCCCAAGAAGCGGCCCCAGCATGCCACAGAGCTCCATGAACGTCTCCCGGCTCATCCTAAACTTTTTCCGGAACAATTCCGGAGGGTTATTCGGGTCAATACACTCCTCCCACCACGCGCGTGACCGCGGCCGCGTGATCAGCGTTCGATAAAACACCTGATGCTGCGACAGCGTGGCGCCAGCTGACATGCCGGCCATGCAGACGCGTCTCAGCCGTTGGATCTCCCGCTGATGGACGGCATCGTTGTGAGCGATGTCTCGGAGGAGATTGAGCTCAATAGATCTCACGAGGGAGTGATGGCGATGCAGGTATTCGGAGCGAACCACTCGAAGGCGCTGCAGGAAGCAGGAGGTTTCGTTGGCAGCACGCTGCTCTTCCAGTAGGAGCAGGAGAACGAGGGAAATGGCATCCTCGTTTGGAGCGTTCTTGATGCAGGTTAAGAGATGTTGGAATTCGGATTCAGAGCAGAGGAGAGGCGAGGGAGTCGTGGGGATGGATGGGCGAAGCAGGGCGGCATTATTTCTCCCATTCACTGCATCGCCTTCTATTCCCCCCTCTCCTTCACCTTCTCGCTCCTTAGTTTTCCCTCCCTTTTTCCTCTTTCCCAACCCTCCCTCACTCCCTTCCTCCTCCTCACCCTCCTCGTCCTCCTCGTCCTCCTCCTCCCTTTCATCGACCTCAACTCCCTCCTCTCCTTCCGTCAAGTGTAAGTCCATCAGCCGTCTCTTTCTGCTCTCTCTTCCACCAAACACCCCACCAGCCTCCCCATCTACTTCCAGCCCATCCCCTCTCTCCTTTCTCTGCCTCTCCCCATTCTCCTCCTCCCTCTCCTCCGCTCCCTCCACCCCCACCCGAGCCACTTCAACAACGTCCAGATCAAAAGCGTCTGCTCCGTCCGCTGCCAAGCCTGCGACTGCCGAACCTACAAGCTCCAAGCCTGCTACTGCCGAGCTAAGACCTCCCTTGCTGGCAAACCCTTGCAGCTCGTGCTGCTGCTCCTCTTCCTCATACTCTTCCTCACCCTCGTACTCCTCTTCTTCTTCCTCCTCCTCTTCCTCCTCTTCCAACTCCACCACTTCCTCTTCGTGCTGCTGCTGCTGCTGCTCTTGCCGCTGGTTGTAGAGTGAACGTTGCTGCACCTCCTGCTGCTGATGCTGTTCCTGTTCTCCCGGCTGTCGCTGCTGCTCCTGCACCTGCTGCTGGTTGTAGTATGAACGTTGCTGCGCCTCCTGTGGCTGCTGCTCCTCTGGCTGCTGCTGCTGCTGCTGCTGCAGGAACTCGAGGAAAGACGGCTGATCAAGCTGCTCCTGCTGCTGCTGCTGTTCTTGCTGCTGTTCCATTTGCAACTGCTCTCGTGTCTGTTGCTGCTGCGGCTGCTGCTGTTCCAAGAAGTCAAGGAAATACGGCTGATCTAGCTGTTGCTGCTGCTGCTGCTGCTGCTGCACCTCCTGCTGTTCCATCTGCAACTGCCCTTGAGCCTGTTGCTGCCGGTAGACCTGCTGCTGCTGGTACGGTTCTGGCCGCTCATACTGATCGTACCTTTGCTGTTGCTGCAGCTGCTGCTGCTGCTGCTGCTGCTGCTGCTGCTGCTGCTGCTGCTGCTGCTGCTGCTGCTGCTGCTGCTGCTGCTGCTGCTGCTGCTGCTGTTGCTGCCGCTGCTGCTCCTGCTGCTGCCACTTTGATTGGATAATTTGCTGTTGTTGCACCATGTACTGAAGAAATTGCTCTGGACCCGACGCTACTGGCGCCTGCTGCTGCTGCTGCTGCTGCTGCTGCTGCTGCTGCTGCTGCTGCTGCTGCTGCTGCTGCTGCTGCTGCTGCTGCTGCTGCTGCTGCTGCTGCTGCTGCTGCTGCTGCTGCTGCTGCGGCTGCTGCAGCTGCTGCGGCTGCTGCGGCTGCTGCTGCTGCTGTTGTTGCTGCTGCTGCTGCTGCTGCTGCTGCTGCTGCTGGTCCTGCTGCTGCCACTTTGATTGAATATTTTGCTGTTGCACCATGTACTGAAGCAATTGCTCTGGATGCAATATTGGCGCCTGCTGCTGCTGCTGCGGCTGCTGCCGCTGTTGCTGCTGATGATGCTGCGAGTGTTGTTGCGGATGCTGCTGCTGAAATATGTGTTGCTGGAGCAACTGTTGCTGCTTCTGCTGCTGCTGCTGCTGTTCTTGCTGCCGCTGTTGCTGCTGCTGCTGATGCTGCTGGAATTGCTGCGGCTGAAGGCGAGACCGCTGCAAGGGTGCCTGGCGATCGAACTGCTCATACACGTCCTGCGACATTTGCTGCGACGCTTGCTGCCCCACTGCGGACAACAGCTGCGATTCAAGCAGCGCGAACTCAAGCGCAGCTGCCGGCGACGGCGCGGAAGGCGCGGAAGGCGCAGGAGGCGCGGAACGCGCAGAATGCGCGTAAGGCGCGGAAGGCACCGGAACCTGCACGTCATTGCGCAGAAAGGGCTGCGCGGCAGTAGCAGAACGGTTCGCGGGGGGACCAGCGGCTGCGCCGAAAGCGGAAGCATTCGGCGGAGTGAAGTGAGTGGGGAGGAAGTGGGAGATGGAAACAGCGGCGGAGGCGGAAGCGGGGGAAGCGCCGGCAATGCCGCTGGTGGGAGCGGGCCAGGGAGCGGAGAAATCGTCGCTTGCTTCGAGAGGTTGTGGGTCGAATGGAAATGCACCTCCACGGTTGTTGCGATGATGACGACCAAAGGAGTTACCGTCCATCGTTAATGACTAACGAATATCCCTTTACAATGAGCACTGACTGAAAAATTCCTTACAATGACAACCGACTAAGGTACCCTTACAGTGATCACTGACTAATTTCCCTTACAATTATCACAAGCTACGCTGTCGCGTCGCGTAGAAGTAGAAGCACTTGCAGCTCCTAGCAATGCCTAGAGAGTAGCGTCAGAAAAGCATGCCTTATAAACGCGAAAGTTGGACAGTAGTTGTTTCAGACGCGACACGGCTGGGGAATATGCCGCATCATCCAACCACGAAGCGTCACACTGATGCTACGCTTCAGAAATCAGGGCCTGATTCGTGTGTTGGTTCGCATTTGAAAGTAGGTTCAAGTTTGAACTTTCAAAATCAAATACTGAACGGGAACACATAAGGAACCGATACCGCCATGGCCTGAACGATGGTGAAGCAAATGGAAACCCTAGGGGCGTGGTACATCTTGGCCTTGTTGTGACCTTGGGACTGTCGTCCTGAAGCTGGCCCTTGCCTCGAATCTGGTTCGGACCAGCTGGTGTTCAAGCTCCACCTAACCTCCGCAACCTACGGTTTGAGCCTAGGTTTGGGAAAGCCCGACAGGTTACACATTGGCGTTTCGGTATAGTGAATTCTCTACTAGACTGAATGGCGAGGATTGAGTGTACCTGACATAAAACCTGAAGGCGTGATGTGCTGGTGTATCCCATTTTTATCGGGATCCACAGACCGTGTTTGGTTGGACGCGAGAAGTGCCAGTTTCAAACCACTAGTAGAGCTGGTGAAGCTGGATCACTGAACGCACTCCTAGGGTTTCCATTTCCCAGCTCCTGCGTTCAGGCTATGGCGGTTTCATTCCTTCTTGAGTTCACTATTTGATTCGAGAGTTCAAACTTGAACTTTGCTCAAGTGCAAACGCCTGATTGCTTGACGAGACACTCTTCAAAGCATAGCATCAGCGTGACGCTTTTTCAGCCAATAAACTCTTCCTAGTCGTACAGTGTCTGAAACTTTTATTCGAGCATTGCAATAAGCGAGAACAGCTGCTACTCCTTGTAAACGGCAATTGTGAGGAGAGGTGGTCATTGTAGGGTCAACATCATAGTCAGGGTAAAAAATGGACGGCAACCCTTTCGGCCGTCATCATGGCCACAGCCGGCGGGGTGCATTTCCCTTCGATCCACAACCTTTGGAAGTAAACGACGATTTCTCCGCTCCCTGGCCGCCCGCTCCCGTCAGCGGCATCGCCGGCGTTTCCCCCGCTGCCGCTTCCGCTGCAGTTTCAATCTCCCACTTCCTCCCCACTCACTTCAACCCCCCGGATGCTTCCGCCTTCGGCGCAGCCGCGAATTCCCCCGCGGACCGTTCCGCTGCTTCCGCGCAGCCCTTCCTGCGCAATGAGGCGCAGCTTCCCGCGCCTTCCGCGCCTCTTGCGCCTTCCGCGCCGTCTCCCGCAGCTGCGCTTGAGTTCGCGTTGCTAGAATCGCAGCTGCTGTCCGCAGTGGCGCATCAATCGTCGCAGCAGCAAGTGTCGCAGCAAGCGACGCATCAGCCGTCGCAGAGCGTGTATGACGAAGAGCAATTCAGTCGCCAGGCGCCGTTGCAACGGGCTAACCTTCAGCCGCAGCAATTCCAACAGCATCAACAGTATTCTTATCAGCAGCAGGAACAGCAGCAGCAGACGCAGCCGCAACCGCAGCAGCGGGAGCAGCAGTTGCTGCAAAGCCAGTTTCAGCTGCACGAGCAGCAGCAGCGGCAGCAAATGCAGCCGCAACAAATGTTTCAGCAACAGATTTTCCGGCAGCAGCAGCCTCAGCCGCAACACTCGCAACAGCATCATCATCAGCAGCAACAACAACTGCAGCAGCAACATCAGCGACAGTCGCAGCAGCAGCAGCAGCAGGCACCAGTAGCGGATCCGCAACAAATGCTTCAATATCTGATGCAACAGCAGCGAAACCTTCAGACAAACTGGCAGCAGCAGCAGCAGCAGCAAGGGTACAATCAGCAGGAGCGATCAGAACCATACCAGCACCAACAGGGGGTTTACCGGCAGCAACAGGCACAGGAGCAGTTGCAGATGGAGCAGGAGCAGGTGCAGCAGCAGCAGCAGCAGCAGCAGCAGCAGGTGGTGGAGCAACAGCAGCAGCAACAGCAACAACAGCAGCAGCTTGATCAGCCGTATTTCCTCGAGTTCATGCAGCAGCAGGAGCCGCAGGATCAGCAGCAACAGCAGGGAGCGCAGGAACAGCATCAGCAGCAGGAGTTGCAGCAAAGTTCATACTACAACCAGCAGCAGGAGAATCAGTTGCAGCCGCAGCAGCAACAGCAGCAGCAGCAGCAGCAGCAGCAGCAGCAGCAGCAGCGGCAGGACGAGGAGGCGGAGGAGGAGGAAGAGGAGGAGGAAGAAGACGAGGAGGTGGAGGAGGAGGACGAGGCTGAAGAAGAGTATGAGGAAGAGGAGCAGCAGCACGAGCTGCAGGGGTTTTCCAGCGAGGGTGGTCTTCCCGCCGAGCCTCCTGCAGCTTCGGCAGAAGCAGGTTTGGGACTTGTAGGTTCGGAGGCAGCGGACCTGTCACTTGTGGGCTCGGCAGTAGCAGGTTTGGAACTAGTAGGTTCGGCAGTGGCAGGCTTGGCATCGGACGGAGCAGACGCATTCGATTTGGATGCGGTTGAGGTGGCTCGGTTGGGGGGAGATGAAGCCGAGGAGGAGGGTGGAGAGGGAGAAAGGGAAGGAGATGGGGAAACTGGAGGGGTGGTGGGTGGGAGAGAGAGCAGGAAGAGACGGCTGGAGGACTCAGGCCAGACAGAAGGAGAGGAGGAAGGGGGAGTTGAAGGTGATGTAGAGGAGGGGGAGGAGGAAGAAGGGAGAGAGGGGAGATTGAGAAAGTTGAAGAAAGGAGGGGAACACAAGGAGGGAGAAGGGGATGGAGAGGAAGGAAAGGAAGGCGATGGAATGAACAAGGGCATCGCCCTGCTTTACCCATCCATCCCCACGACTCCCTCACCTCTCCTCTGCTCCGAAGCTGAATTCCAAGAGCTCTTAACCTGCATCGAGACTTCCACTAACGAGGATGCCATCGCCATGGTGCTCCTGCTGCTGCTGGAAGAGCAGCGCGCCGCCAAAGAAACCTCCTTCTTCCTGAAGCGCCTGCGGGTGATTCGCTCCGAGTACCTGCTTCGCCACCACTCCCTCGTGCGTTCTATCGAGCTCAACCTCCACCGGGACATCGCAGACAACAACGCGATCCGCCAGCAGGAGATCCAACGGCTGAGGCGCGTCTGCATGGCCGGCATGACAGCTGGCGCCACGCTCTCGCAGCACCAGATGGTCTACCGGAGGCTGTGGACGCGGCCGCGCTCCCGCGCGTGGTGGGAGGAGTGTATTGACCCAAATTACCCCCCGGAAACGTTCCGAAAGACGTTCAGGATGAGCCGAGAGACCTTCATGGAGCTCTGTGACATTCTGGGGCCGCTGATTGTGAAACGATCTACCAGAATCAGGGAAGCGATTCCTGTGGACATCAGGATTGGAGCGTCGCTCTGGCGCCTGGCCACTGCCGAGCCTCTCCATTTGATCTCCAGGAGGTTCGGGCTCGGCCAGACCACCGTGCATTTCGTCTCAAATGACGTTCTCAAGGCGCTGAACGAAGTTGTTCTGCCCAAGGTGGTTGTCTGGCCTGAGCCGGGCAGCACCCGGGCAAGTGAAATTTCTTCCCAGTTTCTGGACCTGTGCGGGCTGGACCACGCTTCATCTGTGGCACAGCAGCTGGGAAACGGGAAGCTGATTGCAACTCTCTACACAACCCACCTGCCCATCAACACGCCACGGTCCAACCTTGCAAAGTACCACAACAAGCAGCACACAGAGCGATTCGCCCGCCCCTCCTACTCTATAGCCATGCAAACAGCCATTGATGCCAATGGGCAGTTTTTGGATCTTTGCATCGGGCTGCCCGGCGCGCTTTCTGATGAGGAGGTGTTGCAGCAGTCGACCCTCCACCAGAAAGGACAAGCTGGGGAGCTTCAGGGAGCCAAGGTCATTGGGTTACGGTCGTACCCGCTTCTGGATTGGCTGCTGGTTCCGTACCCCCATTCAGACAGCGCCACGTGGTATCAGACCACGTTCAACGAGTGCATAGAGAAGGGCACTGCGGTGGGGAAGGACGCGATTGGCCGGCTGAAGGGACGGTGGAGGATCCTGCTTCGGCGGGCTGAGGGGAAGCTGCATGAGCTGCCGCGGTTGGTGGGGGCGTGCTGTGCGCTGCACAACTTTCTGGAGCAGAAGGGAGAGGCGTTTGACCCTGACTGGGCGTATGAGGCGTTTGATGACTACGTGCCCGCCAGGCGAGCCGATGACGAGTCCCCTGCTGCCGTGGCCGAGAGGGATGAGTTGGCCCAGGGGATGTTCCAGGCCGTGCACGGGTGGGAGGGCGACGCTGCCAATGCGCTGTGAGGTGGAGCCCTGGAAAGTGGTGGCTCATATGGGGGGTTTCAGGGTAGTGATTTCAGGGAGGGGGAGAGGGGATAAGTGGGGAAGGTTGGGGGACAAGGATGATCCTGTGCTGCTGTGGCATCACATGAGCTGATCAGTAGAATGCAATCTGAGGTACGGTAAGATTATGAACAGAGTGGAAATATTGGGTTAGTCTCTCTGTTACCCTTTTTTTTTTAGTCAAACCCCTTTTTTTTCTCTATTTCTTGTTTATGGATTTGCAAGCTTCACAGAAGTCCATCTGTCCTAGTTGACGCTTATATTTCACTGACAGACCGACACTGTACATGTATGCGTGTTACAATAAACCACCACAACTCAAAACATTTTGCAAGGAGAATCAACTTCTGCCGCCTGAGCCTGCTGCTCCTTGCTTGAGCTGAGACAGCACCAGCAACAAGGGGTGAGGGGCGGCGGGGGAGGGGGGCTGTCAGGAGGTCGTGGCGGGAATTCACAGCAAACAGGCAGACATGGGTGAGGGAAAATAAGTAGGGGAACGGACGATGGGAGGATGGGAGGAAGGGTTGAAGGGATGGAGGGAGTGGAAGATAAGGAGGGAGGAGGGACGGAGGGAGGGAGGGAGGGAGGGAGGGAGAGAGAGAGATGGAATAGAAACGCTGTGCCAAAGGCTGCTGGTAGGTACCTGTTCACTGAATTCTTTGACCTGCTCCATCAACGACTGCCGCTGCGCCACACCTGAAACGCGAACACGATGATCGACAACGCAAAAGCCACATGAGAAACTTCCCCCCAGAAATCTTCAACCTGGATGAAAGATTAAGAATGCTGACGGATCTGCGACCTACCCTTCTGTGCTAGCTCCTGCAGCTTCTTGTTGGATCGGACAGCAAACCGTTGAAAGGTAGGGCTGTTCGCTAATCGATCGACGATCAGCTCGTTTGCGACGTACTGGATCACACGCTGCAGCCACGGGCCTCCCGCCACCATGATTGGATGTGGACTAATATTGACGTGACCAACACGCTACGCTGGTATTGAACAATCTAGGCACGCAAAACGCTCTAGCCTTTGCTGACACCAAGCGCAATCAAAGTTTGCGTAATATACTTCTGTGAAGCTAGCGACCGTGCGTATTGTGGAAACAGAAATGAGGTCGCAGCTATGAGACCCACGGAGCTGCGACGGATGAAGTGGAGGTGACGGAGAAAGCTTCCAGAAATACTGGAATGCTTCCAGAAATACTGGAATGCTTCCAGAACCAGAGGTTCAAAGGGAGGGGGCTGTGCCGTTGTGAAGAAAGGGATGGTGGGTTGGTGGCGGGCAACAAAGTGTGTATTTGAAGAAACAAAATATTTTTCATGCGGTGGCAAAACTACGTGCTTTTCCAGCGACCACTCTGCTTGTGGTGTGTACAATAGAGGGTTGCTGCAAAACAGAGGGGAGCCATAGAAACATTTTTGTTTTCCCCAACACCCCAACCCACCTAACCCAACCCAACCCAGCAGATTGATTCAGCACAGGTGAAGCGGGCACTTGCCAACGCGACTGCTTCCCACCCAACCTTTCAACAGCAACCCTGGTTTCTTCTGAGAGTTCATAACTAGTTTCAGCACTAGTCACCATTTCACACCTACTACGCTCCTGCTGTTGTCATGGCCGCTCCCGAGAAAGGTCTGGTGGCTCACGCAGCTGCACTGAGAGCAGCCCTTGCAAACTCCCAGGACGTGACGGACAACATGATATTTACCTTAGACTCATTCGACGAGCGGCTATCGGAGTTGGAGCGTGGAATTAGACCAGTGCAGGTGGAGTGTTGACGAATTTGTACGTGCTTATGAATGTCTGTGGTTGCTAACGCGGTCTTCGTGCAGGCATCCACAAGACATCACCAAATCATTCACAGTAACGTGACCAAGGCGCTTGACGCAGCAACCTTCATGATCGAGCAATACGAGAAGTTTCGAGAGGTAAGTTGGGCACAGCTTCTGGTGTTCCCGACCAACTCTTATGTATGCCTCTTCAACCAGGTCGCGAGAATAATTGAGGATGGCGGTTCAAGAGATTTAATTAAGTACAGGCAAGCTTTAGACCGATTGGCTGGCATTATCGCATTCTTCGAGCGACACGCAGAACAAGAAGATGCTTCGCATGCGCTGTTCTGCGCGAAGAAGCTCATTCAAGAAGGAATACGGAACATGAAAGATGCTCTCAGAAAGGAACTTCTAGAACTGTAGGTCACTCTTTCCGTCGACATGCTGTTCCCCCGGCACTGGCGTTATCCAATTTTCGTTACTTCCTCTCCTCGTCGACCAGCATCTGGGTTGCCTGGATGTGTGGATTACCCACCTTGGTTGCTTTAGCAGGAACGATATTGACATTTCCGACGACGTAAGGGGAATCGACGGGAGTTCGGCTCTTGTCTCTCGCCTTGTTGGTTTGGTGCAAGCACTAGTGAAGCTGGGCTTTGCGGAAGACTGCGTCAAGATCTATGTGTAAGTCCAATACTGTGTTTCTGTGATAAGTATGCCAGAAGCATATTGGACTGTGGGACTCACAGAGGTTACGAGCAGGGATGTGAGGAGAACGTGTGTTGAAGAGTTCCTACAACGTTCTCAGATTGACTGGAAGTCATTGAAAATAGTTGATCCTACTTCTTTGAAGTGGAAGGACATGGAAGGGAAACTTCAGACTTGGATGCACATGTCAGCTGTGTTGGTCAGTATCAGCAGCACCTTAACATCGTGATTTTTCTTAGTTTTATGCTTGACTTCCTTTATATGCGTGACAGACAAGCACAGTGATGAGCACTGAGGGCCTCTTAGCAATGAGAATATTCAAAGGCATGGATGTCTTGGGGGCGAGGGCTAAGACTGGGGCTTTGACTTACATCATGAAGATTCTTGTTGACACTGGGGTTACCTTCACCAGTGTTCTCAAGTCACCTGAAAAGTTGTTTGCGACTCTTGACATGTATGAGGCCGCAGAAGAACTTTTGACACAGGTGAGAGACCTTGCCCAACTTTATTGTATTTTGCTTTTATGAGGAATCTAAGCTGGTACACAAATACTTAAGGTCACACTGGAGAAATGGGATGACATTGTAAAGCGAGTTTCTTCGCTTAAGGAGAAGTTATGCCTGGTGACTGTTCAAACCATTCATCAGCTCGAAGCAGCGATTGATAATGATGACAGCAAGCAGCTTCTGAATGGCACAGTTCACCCTCTAACCAGCTACGTAATTAACTACCTGAAGTGCTGTCACGAGTAAGTCGTCAACAGGCCAGCCGTTTTTACCAACCATTTTAAGAGTTTTGCATGTAATCAACGTTTGTTCAACTGCAGGCGCTCTTCAGTTTTAGAGCGGATGTCTTTGGAAGTGGAGAGAGGACCTGGTTCGTTTTCACAGCTTACCCACTCGATACTTGAGATGTTGCTGAAGAACTTGGATAAGAAATCTAAACAGTACAAGGATCCCAGCTTGGGATGCGTTTTTATGATGAATAATGTTCATCACATTGTGCACCAAATCCAGAGGTGGGTCTTTGTGGGAATTTTTCTGTTAAAATTGGTATTGTTCTTTTGTTAAGTAAGAAATGTCTAAACTGCCAACTGCGTTTGGCATCCAGGTGCGAGCTTAAGGAAGTTCTTGGGGAGGTATGGGCTCAACAACAAAAGATATATGTTCAGCAGGCGGCTTCAGCCTACAGACGTGCTGCTTGGGGCAAGGTAATTGAAGGTGCTCTTAAACTGCTGTGATTGCATATTGATCATTAACGAAGTGCAGGTGTTCAGCCTATTATCTCTCAGTGGAGAAGCAGCTGGAGCAGTGCAAGCAGACGTGCAGTCGCTCAGCAAAGGCACTATAAAAGAGAGGTATGGCACATTACGTTTACTGGATACATCTGGGTAGCTCCTTGTATTCTTACACCATGAAGGTTGTCATTGCAGACTCAAGTTGTTCAACACCACATTTGAGGAGCTTATTGCAAAGCAGCGTCTTTGGGCTATTCCTGATGCAGAGCTTCGCACATCAGCCCAGCTTCTTGTTGGAGAACTGGTTGTCCCAGCTTATCGGTCGTTTCTCTTCCATGCGAGGTCTGGATTCTGGATCCTGTCAGTTGTTTCCATTGAAGTCTGCTGTCTAAGCTCCTGGTCTTTCAATTTTGGTTGAATATCAACTTTACCTGGTCATGTGTGCAGGTCCAAATTGGATCATCAAGGTCGTCAATTCCCTGGTTCCAAGGACTTTCTGGTCAAGCATAAAAAGTACAGCCTGGAAGAAGTAGAGAGCATGATTGGTGAACTTTTTCAAGGGCACTCTGAGCACCTTGCAGGCACGTGATATTGGAAAAGAGGTTCTAATAAGATATAAACCATTTGAAGGCATTCCAAGGTGTGTGTGAGTTCATTCATGCAACCACAGAAGAGTTCAGGCTGGACCACCTCAATGGACAACTATAACTGTGACAGCTCCTTCATGTGCTTTATGTTCTATGTAGTGGCCTGCCTGTCCTTATGTAGGTGGATATATTATGATGATGAAAGTAACACTAGGAGTGTACAATATTTCCTTCTGGGTTTATGATTTCACGACGTTGTTCCATGAAGTACGGGAGCACCTCCACAGCAGAGCAATCCAATTTCTAGTGCTGCATTAGGGCGGGTCCAACTCGTTTCGTTTCGGGGAATAACACCCCTGTAACAAAATGTTGACTGTCCGGATAACAAACACCCAATTCGAACCTACACACGTGCAGCGTCATGTTGACCCCAGGCGGGCACAGCACCTGCTCAAACGAACTGGTGTACCATCAACACAGACACAACATCCCTCCCGTATGAACAGAAGTTGATGGGTAAAAAATCATGCGTGCAATCGGCAGACTTCGTCAGGGGTTTTTGTGGGAAGACACTCTAGGAACTGGAACTGCTGCGAGACAGGTTACCGTCTGACGAAACTAATACAGTTCGCAATCACGAATACACTCTGTTACTGGGATGTGTGTGTGAGAAAGTTTGATTTGCTCTTGCTTACCAGTTCCCTAATATTTTCGGAAAATTTTCGAGTTTGAAATGTGTTGTGGCACGAAACTCGTTTTGCATGGCGGAAAACCGAGCGCGTCATCCCGGCTAGTCTCATGATTTGACGCGGTTACCCTACAGAAAAAGGTTACAGAGGCTAATATTGACCTGAGCTGTGATGAGTTGGACCCGCCCTTAGTCTCCTCGTGATGTTCACCATTTGGCTCTCATCACATGCCTACTTCCACGTGTGCCGCTGCGCTTTTCTTACTCGCCATGGATCCAGATCCTACAGTCTCCGTGTCACCAGGATTCCCCTCGTTGGCATGCGGATCAGCAGGTGCGACACGTCGTGCATCGATGAGTTTGGACGTATGTCAGGGCTGAGTCATTATCTCCCCGTGCAACTCTCGATGTCTGATTCCCTCACCGACCCTTCTCACTCGAGTCACCGTAGGGTCAAGTAAAGAACAAGAGCGACTCTCTCCTACGTTGGATTATCCGCAGTAGTATTTTCGACGTATTGTCTACGTTTTTACTGTAGTCCGGGCGTATGAACCTTTGAGTTTCATCCGACGATGGAGTTACTACCTTACTGAACCTGAAGAGAGGGCTCTTCTAAGAAGACCACGTGTCACTTGACACGCAGATTTCCAGACGACGCTCTCGTCCTTATGCTACGAATGGTTGCACGCTCGTCTGGTGTTTCGCGAGCGAACTAACGCAGTCGGTTGTCACATGCAGTCGCCGCCGCCTTCCGAGTCTGTGTTGGACTGGATGGCCGCGTGAGTTGCACGGATAGCCATCCACTCAGCACTTCAATCAACCGCGTGCGATGCCGTCTCTCGCTCCATTCTCCACGGCCAGACTGCTGATTATTTCCGCTCTTCCAACAGGCTGGTTGAGCTGCTGTGCGACTGCTCTGTACGATGTGCTGGCAGCAGGGACAGATTTTTTTATTAGAGCATATATATTTGAAAGAGTTTTACAGCACCGTAAGACAGCAGATTCCACCTTTTCTGGCTGCGATGGACGAGAGGGTAGGAAGGGCGATTGCTGTTTGCGGAGCTCTATAGACTTCTTCTACCAAGAGTTTACCTCGTGGAGCACGGAATTGCAAGTGCGAGCTACAAACAACATCTTGATCCAGTACGGATGGCGGATTTTCAACAAGCTTCACGACCCACGGCGGCACGAAAAAGCGGTTCCCTGTTCGTAGACGGTTTGGGAGCGCTAAATCGGAAGCGCGCGAATCGAAAGCGGAAAAGAACGCGCGGAGATTCATTGCCGAGTGAGAGGGAGGTCAAGGCGGCTGCTGCTTGCGGTGACGATGCGACTCCTGCTGCTCTTTTGGCAGTGGCTGAAATACTCGCTCGGCCGTCAGGTGTGTATGATCGAACCCCGTGCGGCTTTGCTCGTCTTTCAAGCCATTGTAGGTGCTAAACGTGTCTGCACTGTTTTTCCCGTGTATCTCTGTGCACGGATCTGTCTGATCTGTCCAATATGTGTTTCTTTTCATGGCTTTTTACCTGACAATACTCACTGCAGAAGCGCCTCAGGTTTTCACCACTGAAGAACGGCTTCGTCAGACCTTGGCACATCTGCCTCCGCCCTTGCCCCTTCTCTCTCAGAATTCCGTGACAGCTGCACCTCTCGCCTCCTCATCTCCACTCCCTGGGCTCAGCATGACTGCCATGACTTCCACCCCCCTTATGGCGCTGGCAAATAGCTATCTGGACCTTCTTAAGGGGAGCCCTTCTTTGCAGCCTTTTAGCAGGAATCTTTCTGTGCAATCTCCCAGCCACTGGAGTCTGCTCAACAGAAACCTTCCGTTGCTTTTATCCAGCCCCGGGGGGTCATTTAACTCCGTAAACTCGCCCATCCATGTGACACCGACCCCATTCAGTTCCATGGATCCATCACTCAATTGGTTATCTCCTGCAGACGAACTCCAGAAGTTACAGGCAGCAGCCAGCATGCTTCACGTGCCACCCGCTTATGATTGCAAGGAGTGTAGGAGGATTTTTTCCCAGCCTGACGCTTTGGGAGGACACATGTCCAGACATAGACGAGGTATGCTGGCCACTGCTTTGCATGTAACCCACTTCAAGCACAACCGATCAACTCCTTTCAGTTCTTCAATTCTGTCTGTGTGTGTGCCTGTGATTTACAGCTTCTCATATGATCATTATTGTCCTCAATATGCAGAGGAAAGGCGGAGGATAAGGCGCAAGAAAAAGGTGGAAGCAGATGCTCGGAAGGTGGCAGAAAGCTTATGTCAGCTGCTGAAAGCATCAACCTCCCCTGAGAGCTCGGGCATGGCTGAATGTCCTGCTGATGCTCTTGACCGAAAAGGGCAAAGGAGCTCCATTCCAGCCATATATATACAGGATGAGCAGCACGAGGAGCCATCTTTTCAGGCAGTCGTTGCGTCTCAACAGGAGCTGCTACTCTATAGGCAGTTTCTCCACCATCGGCTCTCCATTCTGCCAGACCGCTTGCTGGTGCCTCCTGCATCAAACCTGGAGGACTATGCTATGCAACAGCATGAACCTGCCAGCCGTTCTGCAGCAGTCCAGGAGAATGGCGTGTGTGAAGTCCCCTCACCGGGTGGAATTTCTGGGTTTGCTAGGATGAAGAGGCAGGAGAACGAGTCCTTGGGAGAGATACGAGGAGCCCTTTGGAATGAGCCTGAGGGATTATGGTCTTCAGCTGAGCAGCATCAGGGTGCAAGTGGTAGTGATAGTACCAAGCATGGTTGCTCAAGTGGATCGCGCAAGCTGGACATCGATTTGAACTTGATCCCTGCGAGCGATGGAGATGTCTAAGATGCTTTTCTGTACATACCATGGCACAGTCCTTTGGTGGTTGCTTTGTCTGGAAGAGATGCTGGCTGTTTTCTATATGCCCTTTCCAGCTACCAGTAGTGGTATTACCAGTCCTGTATGTAGATAAAACTGATGAGTTGGTGTTTCATTCTAATCGAAATTGTAGGGACGACCGTGCGAGCGAGTCCTTCTAGAAGTACCCCCACGCAAAAGTTGTGGGGACTTGCATGCAAGCTACGTCAGCACAATAGCTCCTATCTTCCCGAATCCCGACACGACACGTCTCTCGTCATTCGTCCATCTAGATCACCGGCACATCTCGTCCAATTTCCAAGTCCAATTTCCACGAGCATGTTGTTCAATGGCTGCTTGCTGGTGTGTGCGATGTTTTGAAATTCGTTCCTCATTGCAAAGCACAGCTCCAGATCTGCTCAACATACCTCCCCGCTTGCCTGGTGTTGCGCGCTTCTGTTGGCTGCTTAGTAGCTTCAACGCTCGCCGCTCTTTCCCGCTCCTGGAACAAATTAGAGGGTTTCACGTCACCTCCTTATTGTCACACCTCCCTGAACGCTCTACTGCTGACCCTTGGTGGACGCCAGAGGCCTCAGGAGCTCCCTTGGTGCCCTGCTGGCAGCGGTGCCGAACCAACATGGCTTCTAAAATCTCGTCAGCAAGCACATTTTTTATCACGAGGTCGCAGCACAGTGACCATGCATGGGCGACGCACATCGCGCCGGGTCCTCACCATGTCGCTTTCACTGCAAGCATACGCAAGAAGGCGTCGTTTCGCAGCAGCTCGGGCCAAGCAAACGGCCCTGCTCTTCGGCGTGCGCTCGTGAAAGAAGCAGAACCACATGCGAATCTCGTTGCCTTGAAACCTTGAATTCCTGCTACGAATCGAGATTTCATTTTCGACCGTCTTCCTGTCACGTGATAATGGTCACGTCCCGGATTAGATTCGCATGCGCCTTCCCGATTTCAGACATCTAATTCGTCGCCACATTGCCTCGTCGCAGATCCGCGACGTCACCCCGCCTGCAATGCTCAGCCGAATTGCCTCCGAACCTGTTGTTATTCCGACGCGCGAGATTTCTATCAGGCTTACAGCGGCAGCGTCGTCTTACTAAGTGTAGTACAGCCACAGCGTTGCCAACAGAACTGGCACCACCCTAGACGCCACCTGCATATTGCTCTTGCAGGGCGCTCGAGGAGAACTCAGTTTGATTCCCTCTAAACCACCAGCGGATTGTTGAGGAATTCCACGAACCCAGACGCTTTTTTTGGTTGGCAGCCAGCCAGGAAAATGGCTTAATTGGAACCAGTGGCTAGTCATGACACTTTGGCACTTTGTCTGACACACACGCAAGCTTCTGAACGGCCAGTTAAGAAGCGCAGCAAGCGAGTAGTAGTGTTTCAGTGAAATTTAATGTCTGATCCTTCGTTTCCTTTACCGAGGACCAATGGAGAGAACACCAGGCGCACCGGTTGAACCGTCTTCTGTTGTGATTGGCTCCTCTGCCTCAGCAGGCACCAGCGAATTCGCACGCTCTGGAGCCTTGGAACCTTCCGAAACCGTACCTGCTTTGATTCTTCCCTCGTCTGATTTTGACTGGACATTTGGAGAGACTCCTTTTGGTGCCGTAACTGAGTCGTTACCTGAATATTCGCCCGTACCACAGTCGTTGTCCCCGCTACAAGCACTCTCGCCTACGGCTCTAGCGCCGAACCCCTCTTTGGAGTGTTCTGCAGGAAATGCTACAGCTGGAGGTGTCAGCAGCAGCGGTAGCCGGCGTGCTCGAGAAGATTCACAGCTACAGCCTCATGTTGAGGTTGACTTGCTTCAGACTGAGGGTATGGCGGAAGTAGGAGAGGAAGGCGGAGGAGGGGGATGGGCGTGGGGCTTCCAGGAGGGGGAAGGTGAAAGGGAAGCGACAGTCGAAGGCAACGCCTCGGACTCTATAAGAGGTTCTTTGCTAAGTGGCAAGCAGGGGAGGGGTATGGACAAGGGTACGGAGAGGGCAACGGAGAGGAGTACGTTGAGGGGAAGAGGTCGGAGTGGCAACCGCAGGAAGCAGCCGCGCGTGTTCCCGAGCGAGGCGGAGCTGAAGCAGGCTGCTGCTGACACGGGGGAGGGCGGAGGGGTAGGAGGAGGAGCAGGAGGAGGGGGAGGAAGGGGAAGCAGTATGGGAGTGGTGGGGGGTGGCGGTCGAGAGCAAGAGAGTTTTTTCCGCGTGCAACAGCTGTCAGACTCTCCCGCGGTGCAGTGGTTACCAGAGCAGCAGCGACAGCAATATCAACTCCATCATCAGCAGCAGCAGGAGCAGCGGCAGCAGCAGTATCAGCAGCAGCAACACCAGGAAGAAGAATTGCAGCAGTTGCAGCAACAGCTGTATCAACAGGAGCCACAGGAGCTAAAGCAGCAGCAGCACCCTCAACAGCAGCAGCTGCTGCAACAAGAGGAGCAGCAGCAGGAGCAGCGGCTGGTGATGCAACAGAAGCAGAAGCACTGCCGATTTTGCGGCAAGTGGTTTGATTCCCCGCGAGCGCTGGGAGGCCACATGAACATGCACAGGCGAGGTGAGGCGGGGTGAGGCGATGTGAGGGGGGGTGAGGGAAGGTGAGGCGAGGTGATGCAAACTGGTGTGAGGTTGCAAAGTTTGTTTTAGACCTGAGGTATATTTGTCATATTCCACCGTGGCATTTACTGATTGCGTTTTGTGTAATAGTGCTTACTCTTGGTTTGCTTGACATGTTTCTTGTCCGTTTTCTTCCAACAGAGAAACAGTATGAGGATCGGCTTGTGCTGCAGGCAGGGGAGAGAGCAGCGGCAGAGATGCGATCTCAGCAGCACCAGCAGCAGCAGCAGGCTCGAATTGAGTGCTTACAGAAATTGCAGCAGGCGCTTCAGCAGCAGCGGCAGCAGCAACAGAGGCAACAAGAGCAACAAAATCAGCAGCAGCAACAGGCGCAGCCGCAGCAACAGCCACAGCCGCAGCAACAGCGATTGCAACAGCAGCAATCCGGCAGTGTGGCATCAACTAGGGTGCTGCCAGCTCCACCAGCGGATATATTGCTACCAGCACGACTAGCAGGGTTCATGCTACCAGCACCACTTGCGGGGTTCACGCTACCAGCGCCGCGCGCAACACCGTCAGCAAGGGCTACATCAGCAGCACAAGCACTCCTCCCCCCACCAGCTGCGAGAGCTACATCAGCAGTACAAGCACTCCTCCCAGCGCAAGCACCGGCTGAGCTGCTGCTTCCGCACCCCCGCACTCTCACTCCTGCTTTGGGATTCTCAACCGAGACGGGCAGCAGAGCAGCAGCCGGATTGCCTCCTTCTGTATTCGCTAGTATGCCTCTCGTGCTTCCTTCAGCTTGTATGCCCCGTGCTCTGTCTCCGCAGTTCACACAGCCACGGCCACTGGAGCTGCCAGATCTTAGATTCCATGAACAGGCGCCACTGTCCATATCGTCTTTGCCTCACACACCCTTGCAGCACGCACCATCAGCCCAAACGCAGCGACAACAACAATCCAGCAACCTTTTAGCATCCGTTCCTGTACCATGCGAAAACCCCTTCCTCTCTGCCCTTACACCGGAATTCCTCGAGTCTCTTTTCCTTCAAACTCATGCTCCGGGAACGTTTGTTCCAGCCACTGCCGCCCCCACGGTCCCCACAGTCCCCACACGTTCCGCAGCTGCTACAGCCGCTACAGCCCCTCCTCCTGCTCCTGTAGTTGGCTCTGCCTCTTCATCCTTGCCTCAATTTCCTGGTTTCGCACATCCGTCTGAGCCCCAGTTCCCTTCTTCTCACCTTTCTGCCATGCTCCCTCATCTGCCTCCTCTGCTTCAGCCTCCTCTGTCTCACCCCCCTCTGTCCCACCCTCCTCTGTCTCAGCCTCCTCTGCCACAACTTCCTCTACCTCAGCTCCCTGCCCGGCAGCCTCCTGTATCTCAACCGCTGTCCGAGGGTGCTCCTCCTCTGCCCCAAGGGGCTCCCATGTGGCAGGCTCTTCAGCCGCATGGCTCTCCGTCTCATGCTTTTCCGCCTCGTGCTTTGAAGTTGCATGATCCGAGGGTTTCCCAACCGCAGGCATGGCTGCGACCACACAGGCTGGAACAGAGGCAGGGAACGTGGGAGCAGCAGCAGCAGCGACTGCAACAGCAACAGCAGCTGCAACAGCAACAGCAACAGCAACTGCAACAGCAGCAGCAACTGCAACAGCGGCAGCAGCTGCAACAGCGGCAGCAACTGCAACAACTGCAGCAGCAACAGCAGCAGCAGCAGCAGCAGCCGCAGCACCAGCAGAAGTTGCTTAGTCTGTTGTTTTCTCTGCCATGTGTTTCAATTCCTGCAATGCAGGCAGCTCCTCAGGTAGCAGCATTTGATGCTTATAATCTCAGAGGTGCATTTGCTCCTCTGCCTGCTCCCCATGCTCCAATTTCTGCAAAATCGCCATTGCCAGCAGTAGCATTGCCACCAGCAACAGCAGCACCTGCTCAGTCACAGGAGCAGCAGCTGATGCAGCAGCAGCAGCAGCAGCAGCAGCCGCCACCGCAACAGAGCCTGGAAGAGATTCACCAACTGATGCAGCAGCCATGTTATGAGCAGCTTGCTACAGCTCTTGGAGTTGTGAACCCCAGCCTAGTTCAGGCAGGGCAGGGGTCTGGCAGCGATTTGCCTCTGGATGAAGAGATAGGGAGGTTGGAGGAAGAGATTGCGACGCTGCAAGATCAGTTGCGAGACCAGGCGCAAGAGGAAAAAGACGCATTGAATCTGAAAGAACAGAGGGTGAAAAGCTTGTTAGATGTGGGGGGGTTGTGGGATGGTGATGACTTGGAAGCGTTCTCGTGAGGGGGAGAGTTGGAGTGACACAGAGGTATATAGATTCAATAGGCTCTCTATTTGCTAGAACAGTTCAGTAAAAACGTTTAAATCTGGGTGTAGTTCTACAGTGTGAACAGCTTGCCAACTCCAATTTACTGCTTAGCCCTCTTGATCTGCGCTATTCTGTGTCCAGTAAAAACGTTTAAATCTGGGTGAAGTTCTACAGTGTGAACCGCCAATCTCGAATCAGTAATACCGAGACATCAAGCTGCTCTCTTCCAGACAATTCATCACTGCTTGCGAAACTGGTGTGTTTGTAGCTCCCCCAGACCAAGCCACCTACATTTGTTAGAGGTATGGACACGTGTGAGTTAGCATGCCGCGTTGACAGCATGAAAGAATTCGCCTCGAGAAGGGCGGTTCGAGAGCCTTGAATCACATGGAACGAGGCGCTCTGCTGTCACTTAATCTTCCTCTTTGGAATGCTTCTGGTCAGCCACGCGAGCAGTGCTGTAACCAGCTGTCACCTGTTTCCAGATTCCCGCCCAGAACGAACCAGGGAGGAAAGTTCGTAGTTGCACGCGCACCGAGAGCTTTTTTGGGCATTACGAGACCCGGGCATCACTCGCTACATGCTGCCGAACCTCCAGATCGCTTTGCTTTCTGCAAGCCCTCCTTTAAGATTATGTTGAAACGACTCATAAAGTGTTTAAACGACTCATGCGGTCGGTTTTGGAACATTTGCAGCGGGTACGACCAGAAGGCACAAAAATGGCAACTGGGCGGCAACGAATCTTGTGTGACTTTTCGGAAAGCGTGAAGATCACGTTCTATCCTGGGTGACTCGGCGTGCCTGCTCAAAGATCTGACGTCGAAATGAAGCCGACCGGTCCGTACCTCGCTGACGCGCAGCCCCTTTTTCCGTTACCGTTTCGTCTCTCCCCTGTTTCATTGTCTGTGACCCTCACCGCTACAAGGAATAAGGGCAGCCAGCGACCAGGATTTGGCGGGTGAGCCAGCAGAAGTATCACGTTTCAACTACTCGCATTCACGCTGAGCTACTACTGCCTGCTGATAGCTTATCCCCTTCCATGGATCAGAGATCAAAGGAGTCAGCAGATTATTCCACGCGTCTCTTCGCAACCGAGCGTGTCGACCCGTGGAACAACGGCGGCCGTACCAGCAGCCTCGGCGAAACTCACGGCGGGCGTTCTTTGCCCTACAGCAGAGCCGAGTGGGCTGCAACGCTGTCGCACCTCCGAGGGGGCTATGAAATGGCGTCGTCTTTTCGGCGTGGCATCGGCAGCACCAACCCCATCGAAGGCTGCATACCGGTTGAGTCAGAACCAGCTACAGGCTTTCATGGAAGCGGAAGCGGTAACGGAAAAGGGCCTGAAAGCGGCGGTAGCGAGAGCAGAAAGCGGAAGGTCCGGTGGGCGTCAGTTCCGAGCGAGATGGGTGTGAAAGACGCAGCCGCTTGTGGTGAGGAAAATATGGGTAAGTCTATTGAGATGTGCCTAAATTAAAAACATGTGGATCGCTGATCTTGCAGTTTCAGATGAGTTACTTACGCTTTTGTTTTTTCTCCCCACCTTGCAGGATCAGACAATCCACGAGGAGGATCTTTGCGCCCTCATATCATTCCAGCAGCACTGCTGCCTTCTTCCCCGCTGCAAACCCCGCTTCAAGCCCAGCTTCAAGCTTTCCTCCCTGCACCAGCAACTCCTGCTCAATATCTTCCTCAGCCTCTCAATTCATTGCCTTCATTTCTTCCCTTGGCTTCAATAACTTCTTCAGCACCCCAAACTCTCTTCCCGTCTACTCAAATTCATTACACCTGCTCTCAATCCCTCAACCCTTCCACTCAACCTCTCAACCCCTGTCCATAGTCTCTCATCCCCTCTACTCAGTCTCTCAACTCTTGTCCCCAACCTCTCAATCCTGACCTCCACGGAAGTACGCTTGGCAGCCTTTTGAGTGTGGCTGTGCCAGCTGTTCGTACTGACATGTTGAATTCGCCTGGCATGTTGAATGGGGCTGGGATCTTGAGTCAGCAACCTTTGTCAGAACTTGCTGCCGGCGTTGACTCTTCCAGACTGCAATTTTTGCGTCAGTTGATCGCCAATTGGTCCTCAGCGGGAGCTCCTGTTCAGCAGCTTCCGTTTTTTTTGGCATCAAAGACGCTGAACGCACTCAACGGTGAATCGTCCATGCTGCAGATGCAGCAAGCCATGCAGCAGCAGGGGCGGCAAGACATGAGCCAGCAGATGCAGCAACAGGTTCAGCAAGACATGCAGCAGCAGTTGCAACAAGAGACGCATCAACAGGCGCAACAGATGCACCAAGGCCTGCAGCAACAGATGCATCAAGACATGCAGCAACAGATGCACCAAGGCCTGCAGCAACAGATGCATCAAGACATGCAGCAACAGATGCAGCAAAACATGCAGCAGCAGGGACATCAAGGCATGCAGCAACATGTTTACCAGGAGATGCAGCAACAGGTGCAACAGCAGGTGCAGCAGCAGATGCAGCAAGACATGCATCAACAGACGCAGCAGCAGATACAGCATCAGACACGATTGCGTCTGCTGGCACTGCAGGCGCGTGCGAGCCAGCTGAGGGCTCAAATTCCGCGACTGGAGGAAGCTGCACAGCAGGATTGTACTACCCCTGCCCGGCCAGCAGGAATTGGTCGCTTGGCGCCCCTACTGCCACCTGTTTATCCATGCACAGACTGCGGGAAAACGTTTGGATCACGGCAGGCTTATGGTGGCCACGTTACAAGACACCGACGGGGTAAGCATTCTAATCACTGTCTATGGTGTTATTGTGTCTTGTATGATTTAGGGGTGGTCATTCTGGTTACGGTCCTGCTTCGTATCAGAAACTTAACTGGCCAAAGCTACACGTTTATTTTGTGTGCAGAAGCAAGAATGAAGGTTGCAGAAAAGGCAGGATATTCAAGGCAAGACAACGGCACACTGCCACCTGCACAAGCCACGTGTGGTCCTCTCCCTTCAGAGGAAGCAGTTGACGCGGCTGCAGCAGAGGAGGCATGGAAAGTTGGTGGTGTGAGTCAGCCTCCTTCCTGGCCCCAAGCTCTTTCCTCGCCGACGGGATTTACCGGGCCCCATGTGCCTGGTCTCCTGGGCCAGATTTCTTTTCACCACAGTTACCCCCCTTCTGATGATCATGAACCTGATGAATTAGACAATCATCAGGCACCATGCAACATGGAAGCTGGAGTGACAGAGCCTAATTTCATAGGCTCTGAGCCAAAATTTCTCTACTCTTTGCTGCCCAGACCTGACTTGGAGCCACAGCAGGTTTTTCCAGTCCCATCACGGACTGATGCCGATCCATACTTTTGTGACCCCAAGTCATCCCAGGGGGACAAAGTTCCATGCCGGGCTGACTCAGGGACACCTTGTATTGACCTGAGACTTGCCAGGCCTGCTTTAAAACCTTTTTCAGCCGATGGCCAATGGTTGAGCTGTGCAAAGCAGGATGTGCCGAGGGTCCTCCCAAAGCAGGCTGTGGAGGATGCCATTCCTCCCATGGGGGGCATCTGTGGCTTTGTTGGGGTGAAAAAGCTGCCACGCAAGCTAGTGCAAAGGAAGCTGGAGAAGACAAGGGAGATACCGTGGACGTCTGTTGTCAGTTCTTGACATGGGCCGGGGCTGATTGCCAGGAACCATTTGTGTGATGCAAGGCAGCTGCATTTCGACTTGAACGAGATTCCCTAGGTGGCAGCATTCATTCAGCGTAGTGAAGATGATCAGAGTTTTTTTATGTGGAGATAGTGTGGAGTGGATTGCATGTTATTGGTGATAATTACTATGCGAGCAAGTTGATTACGGACTTCCTTTATTCGTCAATTGCGATGGGAGTCCAGACAGTGTACATGGGTAGCGTCTATTGCACTGCCAATCACTGAGTAATGATTCTGTTAATATGAGGTGGATGAAGTTTTAGCATGTAGTTCAGTTTAAAGAAGTATACTGTAAAACAATTTGGTGTAACTGTAAGGAAAACTCCTTTTCCTTACTTCGCGTCCCCGCTCAGCACGTACACCACTGTAGCCCCACAGTCAGCACCGTTACCACTCGCAACTCTCGCATCGACAATCCTCCCGCCACCTTCGCACGTCGCACCCCGACCTCACGGCTCGGCGGGTAACCCGCGCTCCGGGCCTCCGCTTCGACACTTTTCCCAACCTCAGTCCCAGGCCCGTCACGCGACAACCACAGTCCAGTACCGTTACCACTGTAGTTTCGCTATATATTCTTCGCTCATGCCTTCGCTCATTGTATTCTTGCTTCGATAGTGCAATTCTCGTTCGTTCACTCAATTGCACTCGTAACACTTGGTATTCAGAGCATACGATCTCTTCTCGGACCGCACCCACACCTTCGCTTCCCCACTATCTCAATTTTTTGGGGGGGGTAGACGTCTCTCAGCGACACAGCACCGCCGCTCGTAGTGCTCTCTCGTAAGCACGCACGGCCACGACCGAGGCTCTCGCTGAGCTCGCCCGACACCCCCGCCATGGCCGAATTCACGCTCGCAACATTGACGCAGGAGCAGCTCGACCGTCTGGTGCGCCAACTTGAAGATTCGGCGCTCGAAATTGCGACGCTCATGGCGGAACGTGACTCCGCGCGTCAGCAATCAACGGTGAACACTCCAGCGCCACCACATGCACCGACAAATGCATATGCACAATCGGACGAGCCGATCGTCATTTCGTCCGGCACACCAACACAAAAC